ATTGTGATTAAAAATGTAAGGAAAATGGGACCGAAAAGGAAATCAGTAGATCGCGGGACAGACGGAATACATAGAGCAGAACAAGAGAGAGTGTGGTGATGAAGGTCACACCAAACCAGCTTGAACAAGTGAGTTTTCAGCTGCTTCTTAAAGGAGACCACTGAGTCCACTGATCTCAGCCTCAGGGGGAGAGAGTTCCAGAATCTGGGGGCCACAGCAGCAAATGATCTGTCACCTTTGGTCTTTAGCCTGGTGCTGCACAACCAGTAGACTGTGGTCACTGGACCTCAGGGACCTGCTCTGGGTGTAGGGACTGATAAGATCACCTTCAGGACAGAATGGGACTAAGCTTAGCAATGTTCCTGAAATGGAAGAAAGAAGAGCGAACAAGATAACTGACATGAAAATCTAGGGTGAGAGCTGGGTCAAAGGTCACACCACAATTCCTGACAGGGAGTTTGGTGTGGAAAAAAAAGCTGACCAAGAGTCTGACTTTGGGAACCAGCTTGTCTGGGGTGCAGATGTGTAACAGCTGCAGCTTAGACATCTCATGGGGCTTAAAGGAGATAAAAATGGTAGGAGGTTCCTTTGAAGGGTTCCCAGCACAGAACCTTGTGGGACACCATGGGTGAGGGAGGTGGTGGACCTGTTGAACTCCTTAGTCTATGCATCACACACACACACACACACACACACACACACACACCCCTGTCTACTCTGGGTTAGGAGGAGCTGGTGGAGTCACCTGCAGCAGGTTGCCATCACAGATTGTGTTTCTGAAGGCAAGATTACGGATCGATAAAATTATGAACCTGTGTTAAATCCCGCAACTTTTACCCACTCTTGTTTGAAAGTAGCCTAGTAAATGTCTTATGACATTTGTAGTATTATCTGTGCCTGAAACGGCACCGCTGACCTGCATGTTGGTCTCCTCCACAGGGCCCCCGAGAGCGCTCCACTGAAGAGCAAGATGATCTACGCAAGCTCCAAAGATGCCATCAAGAAGAAGTTTACAGGTGACTTAAGACGAGGACGTGTCCGCCTTATGCAGTAGATTAACGTGTTGCTCTTGAGTCAATAATGGACTTGGATCTGTTTTTTTTTTTAACCAGCTCTTCTCGGTAATAAAAGCTTTTTGCTAGCATAGTCACATGGTCATTATATCAAACAAGCTGATCTTCTCCAGCTTGGATTCAGTTAACCCTGAACAACCAGATCTCTGTCACCGTTTGACAGGTCAGTGAGTGAATCGTTCGTAGAAATATTCCTAAATTCGTTCCTATGAACAAAATTTAGAATGTTCGTACGAACAATCAAATTCCTGATTTATGAAACACGCAGTGGCCTCTCATACGCATGTTTCTCTGCAATCGTCTGATGATAAATCCCACTTGTGCGTACCCAGGTCGTGTCTGTTCTCAGTCATTTACATTTTAGAAACGCGCTCAATTAACCATATTTGGTCACGCTACATCCTCAGCACGTGAGGGGATTCCATGCGTTCTACTCGGGGGGGGGGGGGGGGGGGGGGGGGGGGGGGGGGGACTTGCGAGATCGAGACACTGGCTGCTGAAGTGCAATGAAGGAACCAAACAAGTTAGAGGTTCTAAACGCTATTGAGACAGAGGAGAGGTTCCTGTCAGGAATAAATAAAAACTTTAATCTGAGTAACGGGTTGTTATTTTACATTTAAGGAGTCTGGATGGTGTTCATTTTATTTGGAAATGTTGAGTGCAGCCTCTTCTGCACTGTCATTCAGTCTGGTTACCTTGACAACGCGTGTGTGACTGGGGAGCAGAGGAAGTTCTGGGGTTCTCGTAATTGTAAAATAGAATATGGATTGGAGTCGGATTCGGGCGGTTTGTTTGTCGCTCCACAATGGGTCCCAAACCACAGCACAGCTCCAGAAGGATCTCCTGTCGGAGCGCCCGCGGAAACGTGCATACTCCAGAGAGCACGCTCTGACAAATCCTCAATAATAATATAGAAACCATCTTTTATCTAACCCATCTCAAGCAAAATCACGAGGTGCTTCACGAGGATGAAAATATAATATAATAAAATTTAATTATAAATAATTTTAATTAATCAAAACTATTTAAAACAATAAAAATGGGCAAAGAAAAAAATGTGATTACAAGAAAAACACAATCCATTCCACAATGATTCCTGTTGGGTGTTTTAGGACCAGTTATGTGACTCAGCCGTTTTTCCACCGAAAAAATTATTTCATGGGTAAAATAGTTTGTGGATTAGGAACGTGTGTGGATGCCTGAGACCTTTGGTGTTGCAGTTCCCCCGTTCTACCACTAGATGCTGTTCCTACACGGTCTGAAGTTTTCTTATATTAAGGAACATTTTCACACACTGGTACAAAAGGATGATGCCACACAATGCGTAAATTAGTTCCTACGATATACGCTCAGAACTGTGTTTAAGTACGATTGAATCATGAGGCCCCTGGAACACCCAAGTCGCTTTACAACACAGTCATTCACACCCACTCTCTCTCTTCGTCACTAATGTGAAACGTGTCTCTACAGGTATCAAACACGAGTGGCAGGTGAACGGGCTGGATGACATCCAGGACCGCCGGACGCTGGCTGAGAAGCTGGGCGGGAACGTGGTGGTGTCTCTGGAGGGTAAGCCGCTGTGATGTCACAGTGGCGAGCTGAGCAGAGTCAAGCCAACCGCCGTGCCATCAGGACCGAAACAACCACCGCCACCTGTACGCCACTTCACCCAGCAGCTTGCTCTGTCTGTTCCACGTCCTGAGGGTGTTAGCGTCTTTAGGCCTCGTTTTCTGTTATCTTTGTTTTTTTTGCTTCTTTTTCAAACATGGAGATCTCATTAACATTATGATATGCAAACACCTCCCAGTTTGTTGCTGTGTGACGTGTGCTCACCTGGCATGAACAAACCCAAAACACCAACACTACCAAACCCCAGGAAGCTGTCTCTCTCTCTCTCTCACTCTCACTCACAGCCAGAGTTTTGCCAAAAAGTTGATATGAAGGAAGCAGCCCTGTTTCGGAGAAGAGCGCCATGAAGCCCCGCCTCCTGCTGCACACGGGTCGCACTCATCAAGCGTTTTACAGATGACTTTATTTATTATTGTAAACTGTTATTTCCTCTCCGGGACCCTCAGCCTGGCAGATGTGTCGTGTTAGACTATGCATTCACAAGTTTATTGTTCAGCACTTTTTTTGTTGAAACACTACAGGTCCAGACGCTAAAGATCCCTCATCAGGTCTTTTCCCCTCTGTTCTCCTCGCTGGACTCAACATCATTCTAGCTGTTCGGCCATGGCCTTACCTTTAAGTTTCAGGTCTGAATGTAATAATGTACTTTTGATTTGTAAGAAGCACTACAGGAAGCAGGTTTGACCCCATCAGTGAGAGATTACCCCACAACAACATCTGGAGCCTTAAAGTTGAACATTGTTTCTGAGATCACCGAATGCCACTTTGCAATAAAAGCCCGTGGCAATTCTGGAGCTTCTTGTTGTTTCTGCTTCCACCAATCGGCAGCCTTCTCACCGTGTACTTAATTGATGTTAGTTATACTGATTCAGCAGCATCAGCTGGAGCCCAGCAGGGACTTGAGGACCGTACAGAGTTGGGACAACTTCTGGACAGTGTTTCCTGACCTGGCAGAGGAGCTCAGGTGTATGAAATGCATATCACAAATTCAGCTGTTCTGTGCTGTTTTAACCCTGACTCCTCCAATCCTTGCTCCACCTGAAGTAAAAAATTCAAAATGGTCCAGACTGACCCATCAGGCATACTGGTCTTTATGGGGGCAACGGGGATCAGAAAGGTGTCCTGTGTCTCCATGTAGCTTTAGCTGATTGAGGGACTTTTATCTTTTTCTTTCTCTAAATGGTTTTGTGGCCTCAAGCAGGATTCATAACATCAGGTCTGCATATGATTAAAGTTTTGATGATGTAGTTCAAATGTAGTGTTCATTGGAGAAGCTGTCCTTCACAGGTCTAATGTCTTATCTAATTCTGGGAGACAGACTGAAGGGATTCCTGATCTGGAACAGTGAGAACCTTTTTTCTCAGGTAGCATAAGAAAGGGCTATTCAATTCTGGTCTGGAGGTCCAGTATCCAACATGTTTTAGAGTTTTCTCTGATTCAACACACTTGATTCACCTGTGCAGCAGCTCAGGCTCTGCAGAAGCCTGTTAATCACCTGCTGATTGAAATCAGGTGTGCAGAAGCAGCGTTAAAGCTATAACGAGCTGGATACCGGCCCACCAGACCCGGAATTGAATGTCACAGAATATTTATATCTGTGAATTATATTCAGCCACAAGTTAAAGGCTTATTTAGGTTTATACAATAAAGAACAAACTGACTACATGTGAAACTTGGAAACATTAGAATATGTTGCAAAAGTTGATTTAATTCAATAATTCAACATTAAAAGTGAAACAAATACATGAGATTGACTCACTACATCCAAAGCCAGATATTTCAAACCTTTGTTAGTTTGATGATTATGGATTACAGTTTATGAAAAACCTAAATTCTAAATCCCAGTTAGAATATTGTGAAAGATTAACCTCAGAAAGCAAATAAAATGCACATATATAAATACACTGAAGAAATGAGTCAAAACCAAAATGTTCTTGATTATTTCTCTTCGGGAACGGACACGTTCTGGCTCCGCCTCTGCAACAAAACGAGATCAACATCATGTAATTTTTTTTCTCATTATCATCTCGCGAGATTTGGTAACGCTGTCCACTTCCTGTCACCAGCCTTTCGCAGCCATGATGGTGGGTTTTTATTTTTTCTCGCCGTCTCAGTTTTTGGATGCTTTTGATTAATTTGTGTATTTATTTATTAATTGACGTTGGAGAAGAGGCGCTGTAGGACCTTCTGTTGTCTCCGTAATAGTTTTAAGGACACGGCGCCGGTAAACTAACGAGCCCGTCTGTGTTTGTGTCCCTGTAGCAGGAAGGGCTGGACGACGGACCTGATTTCCTCTCCGAGGAGGACAGGGGAGTAAGTGTCCATCTGTATGCTACCTGCTTACCTTGTCACCTGCGTACCTGTGAATGGGTTCACCTGTCAGGGTCACAGCAGCTAAATCCAAGAAGCTAACGTTACCTTGTTTTGTTCTTCTAGGTTAGCCATCCATGCTAACCACATCTTGATTCTTATAAGAGTTAAACCCATCACTGTGGTCTGTATGGTCTCCAAGAGTTCAGATCCAGGTTCTGTGTGTGGAGCTGCAGGCCATTAGCTGGACCGGCTAACGGACTGATCTGATTCGGTCCTGGTCCAGATCAGGCTGTCACATGATCTCACCTCCAGTGTGTTTAAATAAATCAGCTTTTCATCTGACTGATGAGCAAATCTCAGATGGCCACTGACTCAGATACACAAGGTCCCACACAGATTGTTATTCCATTAGTAATGGTATGTAAAACGATAACAATTACAGTTGGTTACACAATAACTAACAGTATGTAACATTAAAAAGTAGTCAGTTACATGATAACCAATAGTGTGTTCCAACTTAACCATAATTACTTAATAACTAGTAGACTGTTACTTCATAACTACCATTCTTACATAATAACTAGTGGCCTGTTAGATAATAACAGTGTTACTTTATAACTAGTTGTCTGTTACACGATTACTAACAGTCTTGTTACACAATAACTTTGTTACTTGATAACTAGTAGACTGTTACTTCATAACTACCATTCTTACATAATAACTAGTGGCCTGTTAGATAATAACAGTGTTACTTTATAACTAGTTGTCTGTTACACGATTACTAACAGTCTTGTTACACAATAACTTTGTTACTCGATAACTAGTAGTCTGTTACTTGATAACTAAGTCTGTTACACGATTACTAACAGTCTTGTTACACAATAACTTTGTTACTCGATAACTAGTAGTCTGTTACTTGATAACTAAGTCTGTTACACGATTATTAATGGTCTGTTACATAATTACCAACGTCTGTTACATGATAACTAGCAGTCTGTTACACAATAACTTAGCGTAGCGTTACTCTGTAACTAGCCGTCTGTTACATGATTACTAACAGTCTGTTACATGTAAACATATTTTTATTAAAAGATCAAGTTAAAAACGTCTGAAGCTTCACCAAGCAGGCTTTTTGTCTGCATCCGTTTAGTGCAGCCAAACCCTGCCCAACAGTCAGGCCAGTGAGGAGACAGAGGGGCGGTACGCTACTACATGGTTACAGATGATCTGTTAAACCATATCTGACTGTTTGTTACACAGGTAACAGTGTTACAGGGACAGAGACGGCATCATTTACATGGCCTGTGTTAGGGACCTGAACAAAGATAGGGACCGTGGGGGGAAAAAAAATCATACAATGTCCCAAAAAAAAAAGACTTTGGGAACATCTGGAGGCCATCGATAGTAGTCCGTCTGCTGAAGGCAGCAAATAGTTTTTATTTTCTTATACAGTTCTTGTTTTTCTTCTGGGTGACTTCTGTCAGGAGTCTGGTGGTCTGCACCCAAACCTTCTGTGTCTGATGATAAGTAGAGCTGAAGGGTTTTAGATCACATGATCTTTGTGTTCTGCTGCAGCCCCGAGCAATGAACGTTGATCTGGAGATGGATGCTACTCTACAAGTGGACATCTCTGATGCTCTTAGCGAGAGGGACAAGGTGAAGTTTACTGTCCACACCAAGGTGAGAGTCTAACCGGGACCACCTCAAACCATCCCATCAGGTTCTGTCCTCATGGTAACGGCAACATGTCTCCTCAGAGCACTCTCCCAAACTTCAAACAGAACGAGTTCTCTGTGGTCCGACAGCATGAAGAGTTCATCTGGCTGCATGACTCGTTTATCGAAAATGAAGACTACGCAGGATACATTGTAATAGAAACACACACACACACACACACACACACACTGTGAGCTATGGCCAGCCTGTGTGCATGCATGTGTGGGGGGTGGTTTGAACTATCCTGATGTTTCTGTCTGAGCAGCATATTTATTCTTTATTGGGTCTTCAGAAGTGATCCAGAAACTTGAGTTTAACCAACAGGTTGAAGGTGAAATATGACCTTATGGGATCTTTAATGTACCTAGATCCCTCCAGCTCCTCCCAGGCCAGATTTTGATGCATCCAGAGAGAAGCTGCAGAAGCTCGGGGAGGGCGAGGGATCCATGACGAAGGAGGAGTTCACTAAAATGAAGCAGGAGCTGGAGGCGTGAGTAGACCCAGATCCATTCCCCCCAGCAGCTGAAGTCACCATCTGATCCAGATGTGTTGTTTAGAGAGTACCTGGCCATCTTCAAGAAAACTGTTGCCATGCACGAGGTCTTCCTGTGTCGCGTGGCGGCTCATCCTGTTCTCAGGAAGGACCTCAACTTCCACGTCTTTTTGGAATACAACCAGGATGTGAGTACTAGAAGCCTCTGAGACCATTTTTAGAAAGTTCTGGTCAAAGAGAATTTCAATACATTCTGTAAGTAATAAGTCATAGACTTGTTTATCTGCATCACTTTGTGTCGGAATGTTCCTGATTTTACCATCACACACACACACACACGCACACACACACACACACACACACACACACACACACACACACACACACACACACACACAAGAAGGTGATCACAGTAACGTGTTTATGTGAGAGTTAAAGGACACCTCCTGCTCCAGGGGAGCTGCTCCTACAGTTTGTGATCTTCAGTTTTTCTCCTACAGCTGAGCGTACGAGGGAAGAACAAGAAGGAGAAGCTGGAGGATTTCTTTAAGAACGTGGTGAAGTCAGCCGATGGGGTTCTAGTGGCTGGAGTCAAGGTGAAATCTAGAGGCCACAGAACCTTCAGCCCCTCCCCTCTGTTTTCTTAGCATTTGCTGCTTGTGTTTCAGGATGTAGACGACTTCTTTGAGCACGAGAAGACGTTTCTGTTAGAATATCACAACAGAGTCAAAGATGCGTCGGCCAAATGTGACAGAATGATTCGTTCTCACAAAAGTAAGAATGAAAGCCAGACACACACAGAATCCTTTGGTTTGTGACTAAAGAATGTGTAGAGGTCCGCCTGGGTTTGGACAGGGACATGAAGACAGTAAAAACTGAACCTGGTGGTTGTTTCTGACCGTTTAGATGCTGCTGACGACATGAACAGAATCGCCTCCTCCCTCTACACACTAGGAACACAAGACTCCATGGACCTCTGCAAGTATGAACAGAATCATTCACACCAGTGACATCATCAGCTGCACCATCAGTAGCACATCAGGGTAAACCTGAGGCTCAGAATTAGACCATGAAAGTTTGCAGTAACCATTGTAGAGATAATCCTGCACACTGGAATCACCTCAGTGCTGTTCAGTGGAGATTCCGAAAAATGACCAATCGGATATATATAATCAGATATATATAAACATCCCGGATACTTGTATATCGATCTAAGTTCATACATCAACCTGTCTGATCTAATTTTAATCCAAAGATTAATGTTTAATTTAGATAATTAAATTTAATAGCAAAAGTTATTTTAAATCAGAAGCTAGGATCTTTGCTTTCAAATAACCAGAATTATTACCTTTTTTGTGTTTCGTTTCAATAATGAGGCAAGTTTAAAAATGAAGACATTTTATTACTAACAATTTTAAACTAAGGATTTGAAACGACAATTATGACAATTCATGGATGGCAATTTTAACAGTTTTGATATTACTGGTTTAAAAACAAACCTGTGCCTGAATGGAGCTAAAATGAGAATGATGAGTTTTGGATGCGTGAATGAAGTTCTCAGGTTTCTTTCAGAGAGAATGAAAGCGTTCTGGGTGAAAATGATGTTTTGCACATAACTGAGTTATTTTGAGAGAAACAGCATCAAACGCATTCTGTCGAGGTCTACCTCACCCAATCAGAAGACCCCCGTTTGGATCCGAAGTGTCCAGGTGGAGACGGGTTTCCTCCAGGCACGAGGTCGGTAGAAAAACCTCTGGCACGACCAGATCGGTCCTGAGATGTCTTCTTGGGTCTCTCGGTGTATGAAGCGTTTGGCGGATGAACGTTCTCGTCTTTAACTTAACTTCAGAAATCAATGACTCTGGTAGAGTCTTTCGTTAGCTGCTTTACGGTTCCGTTTATTCTTTGGCTATTCTTGTCGACGTGACAGAACAGCTTGGCAGAGGGTCCGGGCGGCCGTCCCGTCTCCTCAGGCTGACGTTGGTTTCAGAACTGAACGTGAATCTGTGATGGTTAGTTTTACCAAAGCTCTCAGAACCCCTCCCACTCTCTCCGGAAGAAAGCTTGGTCATGCGTCAAAAACATGTGCTGCAGTTATTGTTTATCTGAACTCTGCGTTAGCTGAATAAGGTGAAGGTCTTCTTTGCTGAACACATCTTTATAATCATTATAATAATTATTATTATTATACCCAAAGCATAATAATCCATTTCATGTAATTAAAATACCTTTATATTAACCAAGTGATCATGTTATGATGATTATATTAAACAGTAATAAAATCAATGAGTTTATTAATTATTAACTCATTCACTGCCAGCCGTTTCCTGATCGCTAACGGCCTTCGCTGCCAGCGTTTCTCACCGTTTTTACTGTTTTTTTAAGAGTCACAGAACGTTGCGCGCTAGCATGATGTCAATGCCAAAACAACCTAAATAAAGAGGAGACTCACCTCTTACATCAGGAAGAATCCGTGTGTTTCGAGCGTTATCCGTTCTTTCATAATCCATTGTTGAATTGTGATCGGCAGACGCTTTTCCGGTTCGCGCCTCACTTTTTTTACAGGAACGGCCCAAAACGATCTCCAAACACATGGATGTGTTGCTTCCTGATCATGTGATCTGTGACGTATGCGGATGAAGATCGGCTTCAGGGCTGAGATGTTTGTTCTCTCAGCGCGGGGGCTCGTTCTGATGCTCAAACAGTAAAAAAATGCCAATGACGACTTTAGTCGTCATTGGCAGTGAATGAGTTAATCTAATTATTATCATCGTGACTTGCAGTGTCCTTCTGGACAGAACAGCAGATATGATGTTATGATCTTGAGCAGACATCGTGGCTCCTTGGGTTAATCTGTGGATTCAAAAAGTACTGTTTGACCCAGCTTGACCCAGCTGGGCAAATGCGACCTTTGCCACACATCAGAGAGCCTTCATCACGCTACACCATATTTGTTATGATTTAATCAAAAGCTCACAGGTGGCAGCATTTGTTTTATGTTCTATGAAGTCCTTATAACAACAGGGTTTAGGGCTTTAAGATCTCCAAACTAACTGTAAACATTGTTCTAGGTTCCTTTAGACCAAACTCACCGGCTTTCATAACCCAGTTATTGTTCTTCCTCTCATTTCTAGCTTTATTGGTTCAGGTTTTGTGTGTTTAGTTGGAGTTCTGCTCTCCTCCAGTCAGACCTGGTTCATGCAGACATGACTCCACAGGCCCAGCTGACCTGATGAACACCAGCCTCTAGAGCAGGAACAGATCAGCTCATTTGTGGGCCGAGGCTCCAGCAGAACCAAACCTAGAGACCCAACATGGTGGACCTCCATTAGCTGGTTGGAGCAGGTTTTTCCTGTTTTGGACTGCAGCTGATTAAACCACAGAGATGAAGATGTTTATGTAACGTTAAAGCTCCATGGAGATCTGATTCTTAGTTAGCTGTTTCCATGGCAACGGTCTGAGTCTTTTGACATTGGCTGTGAGCGCTCTGATACTCTGCCTTTTAACCTCTTCTTTATTTTTCCTTTAAGGTTCTTCCTGAAGGTCTCGGAGCTGTTTGACAAAACGAGGGTACGTGTGACCTTTAACCCCTGACCCTGCATCCAACAGGTGGTGTTTCATGTAACTGAAGCCAGTGTCCTGCTGGTTTGTGGTGAACGCTGGACTGGGTCGAAACAAATAACTTGTAGTTTATTAGTCATCAGAGGTTTGAATCCCACGTTGGAACGTTTCTATCAAACGTGGAGTTTCTGCTGACTCGTCACGTTAAAGCTGCTGATCAGTGAAGTCCCAGTGAAACAGACTGTTGATCATTACCATGGCAACCGTGTGCCCTTGCGATGAAATTGATCAGTGTGGTGATGTGAACATGACTAAAGGTTAATCTGGAGATGATGAATCAGCTGATGGGATCAGAGCAGCTCCATCTCCTGTGACATAAAGAGCTGACTCGGCCTTGTCCACAGACCTGGTCCTGTAGTCGGGTGACCCTGGAGGTTCTGGTGTGTGATCCAGGACAGGTCGTGGTGCTTGTTGGTGCAGGTTTGGCTTTTCTCTGGTGATTGTCTTCCGTTTCTTTTTTTAAATAGAAAGTTGAAGCTCGGGTTGCAGCTGATGAAGACCTGAAACTGGCTGACCTGCTTAAATATTACCTGAGAGAGTCTCAGGCTGCAAAGGTCTGGCAGTGCTCTGACCATCTTTAATAAACTCACCATGTGAAATGTCTTGAGTTGTGTGCCTTTTCTCCCACAGGACCTTCTGTACCGGAGAAGCCGGGCTCTGGTGGACTATGAGAACGCTAACAAAGGTCTGGATAAAGCTCGAGCTAAAAACCGAGACGTTCTGCAGGCTGAGACCAGCCAACAGCTCTGCTGCCACAAGTTTGAGAAGATCTCAGAGTCTGCCAAGCAGGGTCAGTCAGTTGGTTTGGTCCTTCTGCATCGTCACTGACCAGCTGTTAACCCATGTAGCTCAGAAGGACTTGCATTTGCAACAACAGCTACATGTCAGTAGATTAAAAACCAGGTCAGATTATAACCTGTGTTCATACTCTGGTCGGGGGTTAGGGTACTCTGACTACTGTTAGCTAACCGTTCCATCAGAAACAGGAGATTAAAGTCTTTACTGGTTTAACTGGGAGTCATTTTCTCACACCAGGACTCACCAGCTGAGTTTTTTTACATCGTGTTTCCACATCAGGACATGATCAGTCATTTCAGATCAGATTAACCAAAACTCGTACCCACTGAGCTGCTGACACCAGCTGTTCTCTCCTGAACACAGAGCTCATAGACTTCAAGACCAGAAGAGTGGCAGCATTCAGGAAGAACCTGGTGGAGCTGGCAGAACTGGAACTTAAACACGCTAAGGTACGGAGAGGTCGTCCAGGATTGGACATTACTGCTCTCTCCGGTCTGCAGACACCTGGCTGGTTCTGATCCTGCCTTCTCTCACCTGCAGGGAAACCTCCAGCTGCTGCAGAGCTGCGTGGGGGTCCTAAACAGTAACACCTAACCACGGGACGCTCAGCTAGCTGGACAGGCCAGCTGTGAGGACGGAACCAGTACCAATGGACAAACAACACTGAGAACCGGGCCAGGGAGACAGAGACATGAGACGGCACAGTCTGTTGTCTTCACCTCTAAACAGTTTCACGCTTCCTCCCACTCTTCTTCTCTCCGTCAGAGCCCCCGTACTGGTCCTGCTGGTTCAGCATCAGATGTGCAATACGTGTACCGGTCCTCCTGACCCAAAGTCACAGTTGCAACTCTTGCTGTTCATGTTCTTTCCTTTTGATCCAGCAGAACCACTTGGGTCCACTTGGAGCTTGTCCAGCAGTTCAATCTGGACACGCCTGGTCCAGGAACCGAACCACCATGAGCCCAAGTGGTCTCTGCTGGTCTCCCCAACCCAGACCCGACCCAAGCGTCTCCAGAGTTGGATGCCAATGAGTCAGTTTCCAGTTTTTGTAGAAAGTAAAGAATAAAATCTGTTTGGTCAGCGATGCAACAAAAGCAGTCACACCTGAGTCAACTTCCTGTTTGATCTCAGAGTTCAGAAATGTAAAGTAAAATCTCCACCGTCCATTTTTTTTATTTTTAAGACAGAGGCAGAACATCTGTGACTTGTAGGAAGAGAAACGTTCACTAATCTGTTTAATTTTCAGAAATCACATTTTAGCAAGAGTCCAAACACCCACCCACCCCCCAGCTCTGGTGTCGTGTGGCAGATCGTTCTGGGTTCCCGTTCTCGTTAAGATGTGGTTTCAGAACCATCACCTGAAGAGTCTGCGTCCTTGTTGGGATTAACTAATGAATGCTAATCAGAACTTTGTTTTTGTCTCAGCCTTAACGTCGGTCATTTAACTGTTTTGTTATCTTTACAATAAATCTGTTTCCTTTTTTTTCTTTATGAATGCTGCCGTTTCATTCAGGATGGAGGCGACTAAAACACAACAGATTATTTAGAAAACTTGTTTTGGTTCTGCATAATCTGGTTTACTGGGATCAACAGCGCCATCCAGTCATGTAGCAGTGATGACATCTCCATGGCAACAGCCTCTGATGTCAGCTCAGATACTAATAATTCTGCCAGGGAATGTTCTGGAGCATCCAGCTGTGGAAACGTTTCATCACCCAATCCAAAAGGATTCTCCAGTGAGAAAAAAAAAAAAATAAATCCTCCAGGATCGTTTCAGTCCTGAACACGAGCGGGCGCGTTACGTAAAATGTCACTTCTGTTACTGGTTAGTTCTACTTGAGGGTATTTTAGTTGCCGTTGATGTGTGACGGCATGTTAAAATACTAGAACGGAAACATTTTAGTGACAAAATACTTTCAGTCACCAGTTTGCTCAGTGAACAAACGTTTTTCCTGTCGAACTAGTCATCCATGTTGCCTTCGAGAGAAATCAATTCAGTAAAAACTCGATATTAAACTCGTTAATAAAAATTCATTTTAACATCTATCAATGCAAATGTGAGGAAAATGAACAGACGCATCAAAAAATTCCTTCCTCGTGTCGTTCTTGTGTTCCAACGTTTCAGTCAGGAGGAGTAACATTTCCTTTAACAGCGTAACCATGGTTACGCTCATGGCTACGGAAAGCCACTGAACAATAAGTTACCCCAACCCTACCCAACTTGATTTGATCTGCTGCATCTTCAGAAGTGCACATCAATGCAATTCATTTTAAGTTTCTGCAAAGCTCTTCAGTGCGTCACACCGCCTGCAGGTCATGCCTAATGAGACCAGGTGTGCCGGAGCAGGCGGTAGGACTGTTGCCTCACAGCAAGGAGGTTGCAGGTTCAAATCCAGACATGCCGAGACCTCCAACACTCTCAGCTGACATATTTACGTCTAGATGACGAGTGATGCATCGAGTGGAGACCCTCCACCTACTGCTGACTCCCGATTTAAAACTGACTGTAGCTGGTCTGTTAGAATGTGTGTGTGTGTGTGTGTGTGTGTGTCCACCTCTCAAACACCTTTTACGCTCAACATACTCCCGCTGTTGTACATGAGCTGTACATTTTTCTTCTACTTTATTTTTAAAGTTGAAAATCCAAAACAAAGCAACATGAAAGTTCTTGAACAATAAAAAAAGAGTCAGACGAGTGAAGCGGGGTCAGTGTTACATGTTGTCTTCGTCAGAGTCGTCTTCCTCCTCCAGCGAGTCCTGCAACACAAAACGAGGTTCAGCTCCGCACAGGAAGGAACCGTGGATCTCACCAGGAGAACCAGCAGACGTGAGTGGAGCTGCTGCAGCCTCACCTTTGCATATTTCTCTGCTTCCTCTCGGATGTCTTTAGGAACAAACTCGTGCCGACCGTTCGTGACTAAAACGGAGACATTGGACTTGTTAACGTTTCTGGTTCAAAAATCTGACCTTGGATCGGTCAGAACGCAGCAGTGAGGAGGGAACAATCCCAGAAGTCATTGCAAGAGCATCGATCAACAGTCTCCATAAAGCTGAGGAGATGCTGATCACTCCTCACCTTCTCCCACCCAGCTGAGCTCCAACTCAAACGCTTTGTCCTTCACCTCGTCGTGGACGATGTAGATTCTGGGGGGTGGGGCACACACAGATGTTAGGGCTTTACATTTAAATAAAAAATAAATGAATAAACGTCTACATGCTCCAGAATTTGTAAGCAGTTATTTTTGTTATATCTGTCTGTTAAAACTATTTGAGCTATCAGTTACTCAGAGATCAACCAGATTCTCTACCCAACCTAAAAAGGAAAACATTCTCGAACCGACCTCACAAAGCCCAAAAGTCCAGATTATAATATCCAACAGATTCCTGCTTTTGCCGGGATTGAAGGTGGTTTTACTTACATCTTGGCGACCTCTTTAACCAGCTCTCTGCAGGTCATGTCTTTCATCTGACAGATAAACACACAAACCGAGATCAGAGACACCGAAAGCATCGGGTGCAGCGGGGTTCTGGTTCTGTTCAAATAGAGGAAACTGGGCTGGACCGCGGTTAAAGCTGGGATTAGATGGAGGAAACTCACCTGCAACTTCTCAATCTCTGTCTTAGCAGCTTGCTTTGCTTTTCCGATGGCACATCCCCAGTAACCCTGCACACACACACACGTGACTACCCCCATCCTCCCCATGTTTTACCTCTGAGGGGGTCTAAAAGCAGACCGACTCACGTATGAGATCCCAGACGGGTCTACCATATAGAGCTGAGAACCGTCGTCTTTGTCGTATGAACCCAGGATGAAACTGACACGAAAACATAAAGTTAGCCAGAGGTGGAGCCGCTGATGTGTGAATAAACGTATCACTAAGTCATCATGCATTAGGACCTAGTCACCTGCAGCCGAAGGGCCTCACGGCGCTGTAGAGTGTGTAGGCGTGGGCGTACATGGCCACTCGATCAGACAGGTGCTGCAACAACACAAACACTGGATTTTAGACCTGGACCTGCACCCCATCAGGTTCTGGTTTCTGACTGGACCCGTGTGCAGCGAGCAGGGCTGACTACTGACAAGTCAGCAGAATCACAAACTATTTTCAGTTTCACTTTGAAACAAGGTCATGTTCCAGCTGAGAGATGACAAATGGGAGATGTTCTGATGTTGCTGCTGAAGCTGCTCCGTTACCTTCAAGGGAATGTTGTGTCCATAGTTGGATCTGAAGCTGGAGGCTTCTTCTCTGGCCACATCAGCAAGAGAACGAGCATCAGCTAGTAGTCCAGCTACCGCCTGGCGAGGATGGGATGGGAAAACAACCAGTTAGAGGAGCCGCTGATACAACTCAGAATAAAACATGATTATTACGACAAAGAGTTCGTTAAAACATCCCTTAGAGGTCCCTCGTGCATTTTTTGTGCAGGCGGTCATGTTTTTTTAATAACTTTGGCTGTGTTGATGCAATTCTTTTTATTTTTTTGCTCCGGTGTGTGTTTTTGGGCAAGTTTACTAAAAATAAAAGCATTGATCGTTTGCCACACGAACACGGAGGGGATCCGGAGAAATGCCGAGTGGATGTTGACTGACGCGATGAAGCTTGCCGGCGTATTTTGGGCTGCAGATCCTGGCTGGAGTGTACCGCTCCCGGAGCGGAGACGGGTTGACCAGCAGCAGAGCAGCCCTCCGGAGGAAGAGAGGAGGATGAAGGAAAGGTGCCACCTCAGCTAAGGCAAGCGAAGCATGTTTGCCTGCTTCAAATGTGACCTGGCTGTCTGCAAGGAGCACTCTACAGTTGTGTGCACTGTTTGCAGCACACACACACGCACGCACACACACACACACGCGCACACACACACACACACACACACACACACACACACACACACACACATACACACACACACACACACATATACATACACACTTTGTTGTTCCAATAAACTTTCAAATGACTATCATTGTTTGAGCATGTTTCTGTGCGAGGGACCTGGATGGGAGTTTTTCTGAATACCTGACACTACACATAAAATACAGAGAAAACCCAAAAATATTTTTTGCTCATTTGTGATTGTGACTCTCCAAAGCCCTCACAATTCAGCCCCAAACGAAGTCCTCTGGACATAACACATGAAACATGATTTAGGTTTTTATTTTTATACGTTGATTTTTTTGACAGAACTTCGCGCTAAAGGGGTTAAATATCAAAAACACTCGGTTATTTTACTGTTTGGTGAGGACTGAAGCTAAGGAAAGAATCTGTGAATTATTATTTTTTTACTTTTGAAACATTATATAATTTTTATTATACATTTAGCTAAAATGCATTTTTTTGTGTGAGGGTCCCCAGTGTAGCTTTTTTTTTTTAAAGGAACCTCCGAGGGTTAAATTAGCCTCCGTGTATCTGATGTGGGGGTGGGACATTCAGGGTCTACTGTGAGATTTCTCTGAAATAAATGATACAAAACATAATTTCCTATCGCTGTGGCATTTATGCTGAAGCTTAGAGGAAGTGTGTCTGTGTACTAGGGTTGGGCGATTTGTATTATTTTCCCCACCGCCAGTCGTCCGTCCAATAAATGACGATGGGCGATTAATTCGTGCATGTGACGCCATGATGCACAGACTGATTTGCAAACACAGAAGAAGTCCAAACACAGATTTTTTAATACAAGCATAAGTTTGCTGGAAGAAAATTGTGATTTTTCTTTTTGTTTCATGTTTTTGTTGTTTGGTAGAGCGACGTATCAACGGCTCGTATTAAACACAGTTAAAGTGTTAAAAGAAGCCTCGTCTTTTGTCTACCGGCTTCTGGATGAATCCACAGTCCGCTGACACTCGAAGCAGGTGCTGAATAACGAGCGCTTCTTAAGCCAAAGTTTTAAAATCAGGAAAAATGTCTCCAAATGAAATAACTAGAAGTCTACCAGAGTCTCTGAAAGATAAACGGGTTTCTACTTTGCACTCGACACTGCGCCCTTGTGCGTGGTGTCGAGTGCATCACATACGCTCTCCCAGCTCCCCGTCAGCAGCGGTGAGTGTGAGATAATGCTCAGATTAGCTGGCCAAGATCTTTTGTTGATTGTTACCTCTGCGATATTCTTTGTGTGTAACGTCTAAATTTCTGTCATTAACAAACTTACAAACAAACAAACAAACAAATAAATAAATAAATTGCCTCTTGTAAAAAAAAAAAAACTAACAGCTCAGCCCATCGCTGATGGCTGAATAATTCATCCCATTGCCTAACCCTAGTGTGTACGTTACCATGCCAACGTGTTTGTCAATATTGAAGATACGTTTATTGGAGCCCTCCTCGTACAGTTTGGACAGGACAAGCTTCTCCACCCCAAACACGACTCCATCCTTGCAGCGGATCCCAATGGCAGTGCTGAACACACACACACACACACACACACACACACACACACACACACACACACACACACACACACACACACACACACACACACACACACACACACACACACAATTATTTGACCTAAAACACACGCTGTAAACTGAGATTCTGATGAGACGTGAACAGAGTTAACCCACCTGCTGTTCTCTACCGCCTTCATGGCGTACTCCACCTGAAACACACGGCCATCAGGAGAAAAAGTGGAGGCCGACAGGTCGTACTGCAGGACACAAAGGCACATCCGGTTACTATGGTTACTGGCGACAAGGCGACTCAAAAAGTACCGATCTAAAAGCAGGAGCCTGGTATTAAGAACGAAAATGGGCAGAAGCAGGTCAACTCTGGAGATCCACTTGTGTCTCAGCTGTTTGAGGCCACCTCATTTTTAAATGACAAGTCTATAATAAAGACTTTATTATACATTTGACTTTCTTACATGCTGTCAGTATTTTAGACCCAAGCTAGATATGACAGTTCTGCTTCTGGAACTTGTTTTTACAAAGTTTCACTGAGTCATAAACTTCAACGGCTTTTACTGTAATTCTAACAATGCAGGACTGTTACTGGAAGGCTGGAAGATACAAAACCATGCAGTTGTCAATTGGAAAAGCTTGAGAAGGATTCTTTACAAGCAGAAACTTGGCTGGCAAACGCGGCAGCGTCTTGACTTTTTTACCTGAGAAGCAGGTGTAGCAAACGCAGCAGCAAACCAAACTCACATGTTTCATAATAATGCTTCAGGGTCATTTCTGTTTCACTGCACGTCGTGTCAATGTTTGTGCTATAAAACAGGCTAGTTAACCCTCTGATTACCAACCTGTCGCCGCCGACAGGATTTGACTCATGAGCACTTCTCATTACCATAATTCCTGAACCGTTCAAGATATCTGTAAAAATCCAAAAGTGCTGAAAAGATTAAAACTGGGGCTTTTCGTGTGCATATACAAGACATTACGGTAGCCATCGGGATTCCCTGTCTTGAGCGCAACGAATCACAACACAGACTCAGAGACGTGCTGAGTTTGTCATCCAAGATGCTCCGTTATATAACTTTTGAATGGCTGATCAGATTCAAAAAATCCCAACGGTTCCTAAAAGTACATAAAAGCAGCTTTCCAACGATCTACAGCATAAAGCAATCAGAATTATGGCAAATATCGCTACGAGGGGAAATCCTGCTGTACAGCCTGATTGAAACGGAGCGCAGCGCCGCGGTGAAAGCGGATAACGGAACGGGGAAGCTAATTAGCATAAAAACCAGCATGAAATTATGGAAATGCCTCAAAGAAAATCAACACAATCTATTAGGTGTCCCAGAAGGCTTATATCTGAAGACAGTGACCACGAAGAAGGACAGATCTCCGGTGAACCAGGGTATGAATGTTTGTTCAGTCTTTATTTTTTATTTGAACAACCCTCAACTATTTGCTAATTGTAAGATTCAGCTTCATTACAGCATTATTTATCTTTTTACAATAAATTATTTTTGCTAAAACAAAATTTTTGGTATAGCAGGAAATTATTATAAGTAAATTATATGTATTATTTGTAGGGCCTGCAGCTGGAGAGAAACTGCTTCAAGGTCTACCACATCAAATAAAAACGTCTGAAAGTTTACAAAAATAAATGGTCTTAAAAACTGCTAAAAAAGATACCAAGGTTCACACTTTTTTAAGAATAGATGCATTACAGTTCAAAGTTTGAATTGTTTGCACAGTAATTTTGAAGTTCCTGTTCAGTAATAAATGTAAAAAAAAAATCAAATCCGGTTTTTGCTTTTTTTTCACTTTTAAGATGATTTTTAAAGGCTTTAATAGAAATAAATTCTAAATACAAACCATACACTGAAAGCTGAGGTTGTTCTGAATAAAGGAGAAGAGTTACACACACTTTGCACTTTTTATTACAATTTTACAGCCATAATATTAAAAAATACCAGGCGGCCCTGTTATAATTATGGTTATAAGAGGGTTAAAGCGAAAAATGGTTATTCTTTCACTTTAGCTTCAGCTAGCAGGCCTGTGACTCAGCAGGCTACATCACGTTTATGGGAAATGTTTTTAGTAAATTAAGAATTTTCTGAATTAAAAAAAGATCAAATTAATTCAGAGAAAGTTTAAATTGCAGTTCCCACCACAGCTTCGGTCTAGAAAAAGATGTTTAACTCACCCCGGTGCCGATTGAGCTCATCTTTGCGCTAAACTTCTGGGTCCTTTGCAGCTTCCGTTCCGCTTTCCAGCCTGTCGCACATATTTCCGGTTGTTGCCTTCACAATAAAAGTCTAATTTGGAAAAACTTTATTGAACACCAAGTATTTTAACAACAATCAAAATCAAAAGGTTTAAATCGCTAAATCATATTTTACCATTAGTATATAACTGAGCAGCAGGACAGTGTAACCAGTTACAGCTTATGAGTGGATATATATATATATATATATAACTCTTGTGGAAATGGACCCCATGCCCCCTAACCTTTATTTTCTTGTAGCTACATTTATTTATGTATTTATTTTATGACTTTTCATTATACCAAATAATTTTCTTAGAAGACAATATAACACATAGTTTTGAAGTATTTTATTGCGTACATTTACATAGTTTGTTACATAGTTACACGTTTTAAAGAGCAAGTCACCCTCAAATCAACTTTTTTTCTGAAACTATATAAATGTGTGTAATCGTGCTGTAGACACGTGTAGTCAATAGTTTAGCACTTTAGAGCATTTTAGTTAAAATTAAAAATTTCTGCCTAAAACTGTCAGTGTTGTGCCGTTGTCAGGTAAAAACTCTGCACTGCAGTTGAATTAAAATCTGCCATCGCTAAGACTAAGAGGTACCCTAGAATGTTAGCTGGTACCATATGATGTCACAATGTCATTGTGAGCCTGTGTGTGTGTATTTGTTAGCAGCTCTGCCCTCCCGGTCTGCTAGGCAACAGCATTTGTTGCATTTTTCAAACAGGAAGTGGAAGTGAAGTAAGTTTCTTGTAGGGGGTGACTTGCTCTTTAATGATGAAGTTCAGCTTTGTTGCCACTCTGCCTTGTCCTTCCCACCTAAAACTTTCTAGGTCCATCATTAAATAGACATTAGGGAGACTGGGCTTTCTCAGTGAGAGCACCCGAGTCTCTGGAACCAGTTTCCACTGGATTTTTACCAGATTACTGACCAAGGCTCTTGGCTTTGGAATATTTTAAAAATCAGGCTTTTAACATTTAATGAATCCATTTTGAGTGCCTGCCTTTAAATGGTTCTTTCTTCTTGGTAGAGCACTTTGGGTGGTGTGATCGTCCAGTTGGTAAAGCACCAAACAAATAAATCTATTGTTTTTTTGTCCGCTGGAGAAAACAGGAGCACCCTTGAGAAATCCCATGTGTGCATGAGCAAACACGCCAACTCTGTTTGACAAAGGTCATAAATGGGATTCGAACCCGCAACCTTTTCCCTTCAAGGCAATTGTGTTCCACCATCGACCCCTTCCTAAACCATACCAGATGAGTCTGATAGAACGGCTGAAGTCTAATGATTTAACTTCACTGAAGCCATCCTTCTCTGTGCCACTCTGACACCACTAGTGCTGATGTCACGGGACAGCACAACACGTCACATCTTATTTGGCCAGACGCCATTTTTAATGGTGTTGCCGCTCCATACTGTTGTTACCATAACAAGATCTGTTACGTAGTCAAGGTTCTGCTCCCTCTACAGGTTAAGTGTGACGGCCATCTAAAATAAGACTGCGGCACAAAAACACATGGTTAAAAACTTTATTAGAAACAGAGAGAGTGTACACACTCACGCAGGCACACACACACACCATGGCTTCTGTTCAAAGTGTGTGTTTCTGTATTTACATGCTGGCTCCAAAACCAAAGCCAGCTAAACACAAAGAAAGAAAATACAGCGGAGGAGTTTATAATACTACAGTACAAAGAGTCTTCTCTTAGAAAATATTAGAAATTGGTTTTTGCAGTGTGTAAAATCTAATTCTCAGATTCAGGTGGATTTACTCTGTTCTCAGCAGTTTCTGTACAAAATAAACACGTTGAGCTGCAGCAGCTTCTGTCTGAGCCAGATAAACAGGACAGGAAGAGGAAAAGAAACGAGAGCAGCAGGAGGAGCTTCATGAGAAAACAGTACAAAATCAGAACCAAAGCTGTGGGTCGGGTCGGGCTCAGAACAACACAAAAATAAACAACAACCTCCAGAGGATTCCACAGTCACACGCTCATAAGTGCATTTACAGTCAGAACAAGGAAACGCAGAAGTCATCACCGGAACTAATGACATTCCACCTGTCAATGTGAAGAAGCGTGGCGAGGTGTGTGTGTGTGTGTGTGTGTGTCAGGGGTATTCAGCTAAAAGGACTGTTTCATAAATTAATAGTTTTTCATTTTAAGACTTCCTTCAATCCGACTTCCTAAATGATGCAGTTTTAACTTCAGAGAGAATGAAACGATCTGGACAGTTTTTTTTTTACTTCCTTGAGAGAAAAATAAATGTTTTATTTAAAATTTGAGACTCGCCGGTGAGAATCAGAACGAGCTCCAGTTCATGTAGAGGCAAGTGGTGTAATGGAAGGAATCAGGAAATGTATCGGAACCAAATGACCCATCCATGTGCTCAGAGGTGGAAAAGCGGAGCGGACATCCTGCTGGGGAACAGGGAAGGAAAAAAAAAAAAAAGGGAAAGTTTCGCAACAGTTCAAAAAACCAGCGAGCTCACATAATCCTCCTCAAACAGGAAGTGTGTCTTCAGGTAAAGGGACGAGGCCTTCTCCAGAGCTCCCATCAGCCACTGCATCAGTCCCAGCTCACAGGAGCATCGTTACACACGGCCCCATTAGTCTATCAGAGTGGGTGGAGCCTGCGGCGTGGTTGTTGGGCGTGTCATCACCTGCACTCCACAGCCACGGTGTTCTGGGTGGGTGAGGCTGAGGAGGGGCTCATGCCGGTGTCCGAGGAGCCCGAAGAGGTCGATGCTGTTGTGTTGGACACTGGGGAAGGAGAGACGGAGTTAACCAGCCAGCTGTGACCTTCAGCACCAACAGATCAGTCAAATAAAAACGATAACAGACATTAGTGAGATCAGGATGAAAAGCTGCTGAAATTAGATCGTGACAAAAAAAGACAATTTAATTCTTTCCATTACTATAAGAACATTTCTCACCTTCTCGTTCCTTCTTTTTTAGTCTTTTCCTGCGTCTGTCGATGGAGGCTACCTCAGACTTCAGACTCATGTAGTACTTCTTCATCTCCTGCAGCTTCTCCTGCAGGAAGGAGATCCTCTCAGCGCTCGACATGCTGTCCAGCTCATCTGAGGAAGAGGAGCAGTTCTGGTTCAACATGCTACAAGCTGTCCATCCTGATCTCTGTAGAACCAACCTACAATAGTTCTAGTGATGGCTGCCACGATGGGGTGGGACAGGCAGGGCTGATGTCCACCTGCCTGGTTTTAATAAACTTTATTAAACTCCAGACATGAACACACATCCTCCCTCTGATGTCATCACTTCTCACTAGGGATGCACCAGTACTTGATTTTTTTTAAACTGAGTACTTATACTTGAGTACTCGCTGATACAGAGTATGTAGTTCTGAACTACTACAAACACAGTAACACCCGTGTTGCACAGGTAGGAAAGTCTGACGAGGTTAGGAGGAATGACTCCTTTTTACTTTGTGGATGTATAAGTTTACCGCTGCATGTGCTGCTCAGGGCTCCTACTGTCTCATGCAGGGGGTGGGGAGCGTTGTCCATGATGGATTCCAGCTTGGACAACACCCTCTCCTCCCAACCAGTCTCAATGGACCTCAGAGGACAGTCCAGGACAGAACTGGCCCTCTTGACCCGTTTGGTTTCCCTTCGTCTGTTCCTGCAGCTCCATCACACCAGCAAACCAGGGCATGAAAGATGGCTGCTGCTTCCACAGTGTCCTACAAGAGTAGGGATGAGCCGGATACTCGTTTCAGACGAGTATCCGGTACGGATAAAGCATTTTTGACGAATACGAGCATGAAACGAGTAAAACGAGTCAATATCTGTAATCGTGCTGAGGGAAAATCCTCATTGGGTAACTGACTGTCTTCACGCTCTGTGATTGGCCAGTCACATAGAGCGCCCGCCCCTCCCTACACACAAAACTCTCTAGCCAGCCGGGAGCGCAGTCTGTCCGGCTTATCCACGCACACACACAGACAGTAACGGATCTCGCTGTGCTTGCTTCACTGTTTCTCACGTTTCTTCAGTTTTCCCTAGGTTTTCTTCAGCTCGCCTCTTTTTCGGTTGAATATTTAAAGTTACTTTTTTCGTAACTGACATGGTGCATTTGACAAGACAGAGCTGACGTGCTGCGTTACTACCTCCGCTCTTTCATTTTTTTGATCTCTCACACACACACACACACACACACACGCACACGCACACAAATCAACATTGTTTTGTTTAACTTTGTGTGGGAAAATGCCAAGAACGTTAAGAAAAAAATCAGTTTAATCAAATTAAAATTAAAAAATATATATAAAGTTGTGTCTGGTTCTAGCATTTCATATTTCCTAGTTCTTACTGCATGAGTTCAGATGTATTAATCCATGCAGCACTCAAATATTAATGTTCTGATTTTATTGAAAATCTTGTTCTGTAATAGTTCCTTTACTATTGTGATCAAAAATATTTAATCTCAATTCTGAGGCTGCTCTGTAAATAGTGTTCAAATAAACAATAACACATAGCAACTTCTGATCAATCCATATCAATTTCAGATAATACATTGATGTAAACCACGCCCACTTCCGGGTTATGCCACGCCCATTCCGAGTACAGATACAGATAATTTAGTTGGTTGAACAGATACAGATACAGATAGTGGTGTACTCGCTCATCCCTATACAAGAGTCCTGCTGATCCCAAAGGATCTCAGCCACCTTAGCAGCTGAAGATGACTTGGAGCCTTTTTGCAGAGTGCATCCGTATTTGTGGCCCAGTCTGGTTTATAGAGGAGGTGAAAACCCTGACATTTCTGCTCCTCCTCCTCTGTTTCAAAGTTCACACCCTGGACATTCAGTGGAACACGGGTGAGAGAACGGGGGTCTTTACAAGTACCAACTCTGTACTGAAGTAAACACGATTCAGACAGATGTCACTACACAGCAACATGTGACCAAACTGGTTTCATCCTGAGGAGGAGCCAAGCTGCTGTCGTCCCTCAGAGCGGGAAATGATAAAAATGATCAATTTTTTTTATTTCAATGAAAAGTTTAATTACCTGATTCACCAATAGGTGGGAATACCAAAAGGATAGTGTGTGTGTGTGTGTGTGTTTACCGAGCTGGAGGGTCCACTTGTAGGAGCGTTGATGAGGAGGGGGGCTCTGTTTGTCTTTACTGTGAGCAGATGGAGGCGACAGACCTGGACAACGAGACTTGTGAGGTTTGGATAGGGACAGGAGACGGGACTGGTCTTCGCTGTCGCTGCTGTGACCTGAGCGTTGGAGACGGGGTGAACACACACACACACACACACACACACACACTTGTTAAACCTGAACTTATTTCTGATGAAGCTCTCGGGGCGGTCATGTGACCCTTACCTGCTCCGTTCTTGTCCACCTTGGCTGCGGCGTGCGGCCGTTTCTGGCTGCGTTTGTGTTTTTTGGCAGACGGACTCGAGCTGCAGTCGCTCACCCTCTTCTGACCTGAGAGGTCAACGATCACATGCTTCAGACAAATACATGGTTTAGCAAAGCGGCGTGTTTTGCTGCATCCTTACCTCTGTCCTTGTTCTCCTGCAGAGACAGAAGGGAGGTGGTGGAGGAGGAGGCGCTACCTTCAAACCCGGGGCTGAAGTCTCCCTCCAGCTCCCCCCTGGCTGCTCCCTGCTCCTCCTCGGTGGCCTCGTTGACGGAGTGGTGCTCCTTGGGACAGGTGTTGGGTTTTGGAGCTAGAAGGAAGGGCCTAACCTGAGGCTGTGGGGGGTGGGGGCTGCTGTGGGGGGTAAGGCAGGAGTGGACAACAAGGGGAAGGGGGGGCAGGGCCTCTTGCTGCTCCCTCAGCATTAGAAGGTGATCTGACGAGGAGCTGGGCTTCTCCTTATCATCTGGGTCATCGAGGTCCACCTCATGGCAAACCAGAGCCTCGGGGCCGATCTGTGGCTCCAGCTCCTCTACTGGGACGGGGGCTGGAACCTCGGGAACAGGTGGTGGACTCCCAGCATGCACCTCAGGTTCCTCATCAGGGTGCTCCTCTGCCTGATTGCTCTGAGGAGCCTCTACTGGGTGGGGGAGGTTGTTTGCTCTCACTCCCACATCACTCCTCCTCTCAGGGTGAGGGGGTGAGACGAGAGCTTTGGCAGTAGCAGTATTTTTGGGGGAGACGTCCTCAGGTATCCTCTCCTTTTTGTCCGCCGGACTCTGCTCTGATTTTTGTTTCAACCTCTCCTGGGGAGACGGCTCCGGTCCTCCGCCCTCCCCCACCACCTCCTCCTCAGTGGCAGAGTCAGTGTCAGAATTGGCAGCAGAAGATGACTTGGGGAGGAGGTGCTGAGAGGAGAGACAGTGGAGAACCACCATTGGCTCATCCTGTCTCTTGAGGATGCTACGAGAAGCAGCAGACAGCACTGCTGCCTGGGGGGTGCAGGGGGAGAGGTTGGGGGGGCTGATGTTGCAAAAAGGGATGAGTGGAAAAGTCTCAGAGCCTGCCTCCCTAAGGTTGGGCCTGCGACCTTTGACCCTGGGGGAGGCTTGAGGCGAGGAGTGGCTGCTGTCTTCTGTGGTACGGGGTGAAGTTGCTGCCTCACCCTGCAGGATAATCATGTGAAGAGCCGTCTCGTGGAGCACTTCCTGTCCAGGTGACATCTTGTTTTGACACTGCACAGACGCGGTGGACGGCACTGGACACGTTCGGCTGTCTCTGTCCAGGTCAGGTGACATCATAGAGGACTCTCCAAATGGGTCCGCCCCCTGTGCCTCTTCTCTCCTCTCCGACTGGCTCAACTCTTCATCAGCTTTCTCCTGAAGTGTGCTGGGACACCCAGGTATGGCAACAGCTGACAGCGGTGCTGAAGTTACCATGGCAACTGGACTGCTGTCAGCATGTTCAACAACACTGGACTCCTCCATCTCCTCCTTCACCTCCATTTCCTCCTCAGCGTCCTCCTGCTCCTCCTCTGGCTGACTGGACTTTTGCCATGGCAACAAGTGATCATTCTTTTCTGGCTGGTCGTCCGTTTCGCTGTCAACCGACGAATTCCCAGAATCTTCTGCAGGGAGGAGACACGGTTAGACACTGTGGCATTACGGTTTATCAGGTAACAGAAGGTGGAGTTGTTCTGACCGTTGGATGCCTGATCGGATTCGTACATGCTGGACGTTCTCCTGGTTCTTCGGCGCGGCGTGTCTACAGAGAGGACAGGAGGTTACGATCGGCCCATTACAACAGAGAAGCTCGACTGAGGCCCTCATGTCTTACCGTCTCCATTGGCTAAATTGGACGAGTCCATCCTGGTGAACCTTCCATTGGACTGCCCTTCACCACCACCGGTTCTGAGGATGCCGCGCCCAGCAGAGCTGGTGGGAGGGGTCCTGATCTGGGGTCGTCCACGCTTTAAGCCTGTCGGCTTAACTCCCCCCAAAGGAGTCAGCTTCTCTTCATCCTTTTCTCTCTCTCGCTCTGGAACATCTTTGTTCTGTAAAGAGGACAACACGAGGAAGACATGAGGACTGGATTTTAAAAAGGTCACTGTTGAAGCTTTATGGTTTCACCCTTAAAAACAGAAAGAAAATGTCAAAGATCTGCTTTTTAAGACTGAGACCACACAGGTCAGGCGGGGGGGGGGGGGGGGGGGGGGCATCACATGAACAAGGGTCTACATGTCGGCCTGGTCCTCGTAAAGCTCTAGAAACTAAAACCAGAATCTTCAAACGGACTCAGGAGCTAACGAGGAGCTGGTGGAAAAGCAGCAGAGAGCCGTGTTTGATTAGGGAGGACTTTGTCAGAAACCCAGACTGAACTCCAACTGGGGAAAAAAAAAAAAAAAAAAAAAAAAACCCAGTTTAACCAACTTAAACAGCCCGAAGCAGAGTGAACCGGGTCCATTGTGTTTAAAGCATGTTTCAAGTGTGTGAGTCAGTGCGTTTACATGCAGCCAGTAACCCTTTTAAAACCCGAATATTCACAATAACCCGGTTCTGCAGGTCCTTGTAAACACCGCCAAAAGCCTGCATATGCTCATAACCGGGTTTTTAAAAACCCGGTTACTACACCTGGGGTAACCCTTTTGGTCGTGTAAACGGATATCGGGATATCCCCATCAAAGCGTGTGTCCTGCGCATGCTCTGTTCGCAAGGAATCTTGGTCTTTTGAGTAGTGAGACGTCTTGTATGCGCCAGAACACCGGAAGTAAACAACAAGTTGGGGGCAACATGGCGAGTCGCGGCACAGCACCACACTTGAGTGACGAAGAAACTAAAGCGCAAACAAACGCGGTCGCTATCTCTTCCGAACTGGGAAACATGTTGTTGTTTTCACGGATACCAGAACAAGAAGAACCGGAAATGACACATACTGCGTCAGGACGTAGTCCATACGTCTTGACACTACCCCAACATCTGCAGTTAAATCAGGTTATGCAAGTTAGGGGTAACTCTTTCTATTTATGCTTGTAAACGGGTTATTCTGATCAACTCAGAAACTCGAATCCCGACCTTAACCCGATCATAACACGGATATTGGCTGCATGTAAACTTACTCAGTGTAAGTTTATTATAGGCTACTTTTTATTTAATTCGTTTGTCATGAGGCCATGTTGAGTTTCCTTTGGCTGCTGCTGGATGAATCAATCACCCCAAGGCTTTGCTACAAACCAGAGTCCTGCGTGGTTTGCTTCGGCACGGAACAACCTGAATCTGATGATGATGCAGTAACAACGTGACTTTTACCTTCACCTTCTTCCTTTGCGTTCTCCTGGTTCCCTTCTCTGCAGGCCAAATGATGCGATCGGCCTTCACCCACTCGTCGTACCTGTGATCAGACACACACGACATCTTTCCTGAGCGACAAGCAGGTGAAGCGCGCAACATAGAACGAGCAAAGGAAAATATTCACTTTTAATGCCATGAATCAGGTACAGAGCTGATCCAGTGAACACAGCAGCTTGATTGTGATGCTGCCCACATGCGGGGCACTGACCTGACATTCCAGCCATAGTAGTGAACGAGGTAAAACTGTTCTCCGTTGTCATTGTCCGCCTTCTTGATATGAGCTTCATATATCTTTTGCGTCTTTCCTCTGCCATACTTCACTCTGACCTTCGTCCCCGTCACAGAGTCTCCATCCTCCTCATCCTCACTCCTGCAAGAGACATTTCCTTCCTTAGTGGGGCAGAGCCAGAAAAGGTTGTTGAATTTGAGCAAAAAACAGAAACGTGTAAAATTATGAACTATTCATTCATTCTCAAAACCACCAATTTCTCAACAGGGTGTCAGGTGCTAAGCAGATACTAGTGGGAACCCCCCCCCCCCCCCCCCCAAAAAAAGCACAAGGTGATCTGTACGCCACTCAATAACAGAAGACATGGTAGCAATGAGTAACGTTAGAGATGGACCTGCTATAAAATTCTGGAGTTCCCTTACAGTTGATTCCCTCGGGACAACGAAGGTACTATGGGACATCACGCCCTCGTGTGGCCTGACTGAAGACACATCTAATCACACCTGTAAAAGTAAATGCCGTGGCCCCGCCCCCACCTATAAACACTCAGCGTCACTGTCATTTCTCAGCTTTTACGCTCTTCACCTCACCAAGATCACGTCTATTGGTAAGCTAGCTATTGAAAAGTTAGCTTAATTGCTCGCTGGTTATGACTGCTGCCTCCTGGCTGGCATTTGCCCACTGAGCGCTATCTTTTCGTGGCTCTTTTAGCTTCCCAGGCTTCTTGTTTTTCCTCTCTGCTCTGTCTTGCCATGAGCATCGTGTTGGTACCTGCAAAGCAAAAGCCTTCTTCACATCCCTGTCCTCAGGGCTGTGGGTTCTCTCTCCATGTGAAGGACCTATATGAAGCCTGTTCTGTCTGCCTGGGAATTCTTCATGCTAGAAGAGCACTTTTGAACCCGGAGGCATGCAAGTTCTGTTACCACCTCCGCTGTCCCACGCTCGAATGGCATTTGAAGTTGCTTCAATGTCTCCTGGAGGAAGATGTGGTCTCACAGCAGGACCCTATGCTCTCTGAGTCGGCTCCTCCGACTTCCAACATGGACAGCCTTTCAATCGAAGTCCCCGCTAGCTGGGCAGATCAAATGGAGATGGCAGACGGGCTGAGCAAATCCATCCCGGAGGCTTCCTAGTTTCTCCCTTCGGAGGAGGACGTGCTGGACATCTGTGTCAACAGCCACAACCTGCTGGAAGACGAGGAAGCTCTCCCTACGGTGGATGGTGCTGCTACTGCCGCAGCCTCAACTCGTGACTTTAGGGAAGACACTTCTTTTCTTCCACTTTGCAGACGGGCGGCGGAGAAACTCGAAGTGGACTAACATGCTCCTCTGCCGGGGTAAAAGAGCTCCCGTTTAGCTGTTTTTTTTTTACCTCCCCACAGAACCAGCTGAGGTTAAAAATTTTCTACCGCTGTACACAAACTTTGTAGGCGAGCTCATGGTATCTTGGATAAAGCCACTGTCCACCCGCATCGCGGCATCAGGCTACATCGAGGTAGTTTGTGGACCTTGATGGTGCTGAGAAGTAGGGTTTGGTTAACTTTCCCGCTATGGAGCTCTTGCTAGCAGCGTATTTGGCTACAGGTAACAATGGGGTGAGTGGTCCGGCAGTTTCACCCTCCAAACCGTGCAGGTTTTCTGCTGCGCTACTGGAGAATATCCACCAGGCCCAAGCCTGCACTTTTAGCTCTGCCACCATGTTGCACAGGTTCCACCCGGCAGCCCGCTCACCCCTCTTTTATTAACGAGGTTCGGGCCACGACGGACTACATCCTGCGTGCAGCCCGAGGTGTAGCCAACTCTCTAGGTAGGGCCATGGCTTCGACCGTGGTGGCACAGGGACACCTGTGGCTGAGCCTCTCCAATGTCCCGGACCGAGACAGGGCTTACTACTTAGACCAGGGGTGCCCAATCCTGGTCCTGGAGGGCCGGTATCCAGCAGGTTTTGTGGCTTTGCTGCTCCAACACACTTGATTCAGTGGTTGAATCACCTGTGCAGCAGCTCATCAGGCTCCGCGGAAGCCTGTTAATCACCTGCCGATTGAATTCAGGTGTGTTGAAGAAGGGTTAAAACTCAAACCCGCTGGATACCGGCCTTCCAGGACCAGGATTGGGCACCCCTGACTTAGACGAACCTGTCTCCCCAACGGCCTGTTTGGACAGTCCCTCGATGTTATTCAGGCCACGTTCGAGACTCAGAGGAAGCAGACGGAAGCGCTGCGCTCCATCATCTCCAGGTGTGATGTGAGACCAAAGGCTCCCGGAACTGATCGACGGGCCATCCTCTAGCCTCCCTTGCCTCAGAGGACAATGTTGCCTGCAGCAGCGGTGAGCTCCGCTGCTGGTGGGACCTAGCCCTTGCCCCCCAGCCAGTCTGCGGCCTCACAGAGACTCTCTGAACTGTAAAAAGAAGCCCCAGTCATCCTGATGTCAGGACCAGTTTTTGTTCAGGACTTGGACCCTGTTTGACCTCCAAGCCTCAGTTTTCAGCAGTTAACCATGTTTGGTTGCTGTTCAACCTAGAGACTGTTTGCTGCCCCAAGTGGTCAAAAGTTGCACTGTGCCACAGTTTTGCACAATGTTCCAATAAAAACTGCAAACTGCACTCAAAATTTTTTTCGTTTTGGTGCGTCTAAACACTACATCTCAACTTGTTCACAAAGATGTGTCAGCCTGCTCTGCCGGTGACCGACAGCTCAATTTTCGCCGCAAGCATGTCTGCAAACAGCTTCGAGCGAAGCTAGTGAGGCGGTTTTCTCCAATTCTGCTGGAGAACAGCAGATTTTAACTGCTTGCAGACGTGATGGTCAGAGCACGTGTCATAAGCGTGGTGCTGTGCTCCGCAGCTGCATGGCCCACTTCCGGCTGGGAGCCAAACGGACATTCTGCACAGTCTTACAGCTGTTGGGCATGAAGGCTTCTTCTATAGCTGTAGTGCCTCTTGGCCTGTTAAGAATGCAACATTTCCAGCGTTGGGTCTGCTCTCACCATCTTTGTCCATCACGTCATATTCACCGGAAGTTGACAATCACCAGGGCCTGCATAGCAGCTCTTCCGCCATAGGGAGAACCAGGGTGTTTCATCATGGTCCTCCAATTGGGAAGGTGTTCGAGCGCATGGTAGTGTTCATAGACGCTTCCCTCAGAGTCTGGGGCGTTCTGTGCGAGGGGATGAGGGCGAGGGGGGTATGGTCCCCAACCCAATCGGGGTTCCACATCAACTACCTGGAACTGTCAGCCGTGATTCCGGCCCTGAAACATTTCAGTCATTACCTGAGAGGGCAACATGTGCTAGCGCGCACAGACAACACAGCGGTGATGTCATATATAAACACTCTCTTCCTCCACTGAATCTGGCTTGTATATTGCTACATTGGTGCAATCTGAATCTTCGTTCTCTCAGAGCAGTTCATGTTCCTGGGTGACTTCACCCGGAGGTGGTGTCCCAGATCTGGCTGAGGTTCAGCAGGGCAAAGGTGGATCTGTTTGCGTCGAGCGAGAACCATCAACATTTACATACATGGACAATGGGTTTCCATAGACCCCAATAACACGTTTTGGAGGAGAAATCGGAGGTGGCCACCACCTCCATTTTGACCGTGTCACAGGTTCTGTCAAGCCCAGACAATTCCATAAAAGGGAAGAGAGGAGGCGCTGAGGGTGGGGCTGTAAGGCTGGGATCAACTGACGACACCCGATCGAACTAGCTACAAGCTAACCTGAAGCTAACGCGGAGGTGGGAGCTAAGCTAACGGAGGTAGCAACCTAGCTACAACCGGAGTTAACTGTGCACAACACCAGAGCTTCTGAGTCAGAGATACGCCGGGCTGACCGCTGGGTAAAACCGGGTGGAACACAGAGGTCTCCCGAGAGCTCCACAAGCCGGCAGCCGCACAGCAGACAAGCGCCGCTGCAATCTGAGATGCGCAGAGCTGCCGCTGGGGAGAACCGGGTGGAAAGGTTTCCATCCCAGAGCTCCACAAGCCGGCAGCCCGCGCAGCAGTCAGGAGCTGCGGCGATCAGAGATGCGCCGAGCTGCGGGGAGGGGAGAACCGGGTGGAAAACATTGGTCTCCCGAGAGCTCCACAAGCCGATAGTCGGAACCCAGCTCCACCAACATGTTATATTTCAACCCATTTTCTAAAGTGCAGCATTATGTTAAATGCACTGGGTTTTACCCTATTACATTTAAATTTCATGGTTAAACAGTACATGTTAAAATCTAAGCTCAGCTCGGCAGTGACCTAAAATACATAAATATAATTTTACTTACCGAAAAAAAATGAAGTGGAGACTCCTTGGACGCTCTATTAGTGCAATTAATGCCACAGCAAGTCATTTTGTCCAACAATTGCACAACAAATATCCAAAAAGGAACGCACAAACGCTACAACTAATGGTCTAAGTTGAGAGACTGAAAATGACGGAACAGTTTTCAGGCGAGGCCGAGGCTCTACTGAGGCCTTTCCACGGAGCTAGCTCTGCGGTCACGTGGGTCTGATGTTCATTAATTATACAGAATTTTAGGCTTTTAATACACTTAAACAGAAGAGTGAGAAAAAAATTCACCCCCCTCAGAGTTGTCATGAGTGTAAACTAGATAATTTAAACCAAAAACATGTTCTGGTACCAGGCTGTAAACATGTTTATTTCTGCTGTGAATTTGGTATTTTTAACATGGGAGTCAATGAGGATTTGCTCGCTTCTGACACCAGCCCCCAGTGGATGAGGGTGGAACTGCAATTTATTTCACTTCCGCATTGGCCTCAATTTCTGTCCCGCATTGTGGGGGCTTGGCGAGAACACACACCGTCCCCTGTTCTTCTCCTTAACGGATCAGACTGCACTAATGGGGACAGATGCTCTGGCACAGCCTTCGCCCAACATTCTCCTCTACACCTTTCCTCCAGTAGAGCCGATTACGGTGGAGCTGGAGAGCGTGTGCAGGACAGGCCTGTCCCTGATTTTGGTGGCTCCTAATGGCAGCTCCCCATCAGGCAGGACCTACTGTCTCAGACTTGGGGGAGGTGCTGCACCCTCGTCCACATTTGTAGAAACTGCAGGCTTGCCTACTGAAAGGTCCAACCTGTTAGCTAAAGGCCTTCCCCTGGCTGTGGGGAATACTAGTCAGAGCTCTAGCATGTTCCACTAGAGGCCTATGTGCCTACAAGTGAAAAGCTGTTGAGGAGTGGTGTTGGAGTACGTCTGTGGTTCCTTCACAGAACTCCATTCCATTGTGGACATTCGGTTCTTTCTGTGGGAACTGCTGGACAGAGGCTTGTTCTCCACTTTGACGTTCTACCTGGCAGCCATTTCTGCTTGCCGTGAGTCATTTAATGGCGTTTCTTCTGACGCTCACCCTTTAACCGTACGGTTCCTGAAGGGAGTTTGCAGACGGAGGCCCTTAAGATCTTCTGTCCCTTCCTGGGACCTCACTTTGGCACTGGAGGCCTAGTGTGGTCCCCTATGTGAGCCCATTGAATCAGCTGACATGAAGATTCTGCCTTATTAGACAGCCCTGCTGTGAGCCCCAGCATCGGCTAGGAGGGTGGGAGGTCTTTATGTTCTTTCAGTTCACCCTTCCTGTCTGAAATTTTCTTCAGATGGATCTAGGGTCACTCTGCAAGGTCATCCCGCTGAACTACAGTTCTATGACCATGGAGGTTTTGGCCTTCAGTCGTCCTCCTTTTGCCTCTGAAGAGCAGAGGCTGTGCCCGTTTCGTGCCTTGCAGGCATATGTGGACCACTCAGATTTTCCGACAAGCAGACCAACTCTTTGTGTTACACCAAGCCCTCTAAGGGTTAAGGGTCTCATTAAATTGTGGATGCCATTTCCCTGTGTTGCAGGCTCCCAGCTGGACCCAGGGGTCAGGGCACACTCTACTAGAGGCGTGGCTGCTACTGGGGCGCTGTTTAAAGGCATTTTGTTTGGTTGGTGACACTTGCTCGGCTGCTAGCTGGGCTACACGCCACACATTTGTGAGGTTTCAGGCGTGATGTCCCACACTACCTTCGCTGTACCATTTTCCTCTCCTTCAGGGAACGGTGGTTATATTCATATCCCAACATTTGTTCTCCAGAAAAGGTGGCTGGTAGAGAGTTGGAACATGATGGAGCCGCCGCGACTCCAACCCCTAGCCAATCAGAGACAGTCTTTGAAGTTGCTATAATTTATTGGAAGTTTGAGTTCTATTTCGAAACCAAAGAACAGCTAAATGAACATCTGGCCAGAGCAGAGGGGTCTCCAACCCTGGTCCTGGAAGACCAGACCACCATCCAGCATGTTTTAGTTGTTACTCTGCTCCAACACACCTGTTTCAGTCATTTACTCAGCTGTTCAGCCTGTTAATCAAATCAGGTGTGTTTCAGCAGACGAACCTCTAAAATCTGCAGGACAGGGGCTAATGGGGACCACGCCTGGAGAACCATGTATATATATATGCAGTCACCATGCATTAGAAATAATCTCACCTGTTTCTCCTCATTTCATCCTCCTCCTCATCCTCTTCTTCCTCCTCATCCTCTTCTTCCTCCTCATCAGACCCCTTTTCAGAGTCATCCATCCGTCTGCTGCTGCGCCTCCTCAAGTCTCGGTTCTGTTCTTCACTGTTCTCTCCCTGATCTGGGAGTTCTGGCCTTGGCAGCCTGAGCCGACCACCCACACACCTCCTCCCCTAAAGCAAGAGAGCCAGCCAGCCAGCCAACAACTCAATAAATCACAAAACGTCAGGTTTTTTCACCTCGTCGTTGAATTTTAAAGAAAACACCAGCCTCACCCGCAGGGATAAGTGTCTCTCCTTCACCTCCTTTTCGCTCTCGCTGTCCGAGTCGGACTCCTCCTGCTTGTCATCAGCAGGCTCCACCTTCCCGTGTGCTGCAGACTCTTTTAGCTCCGCCCGTGCTCTCTTATGATTGGACAGAAGCACGGCGGGTGGAGGCGTGTTGTGATGGATGGTTCTGAAGGTTATGGAGGCAGAGTGACAATACTCCTCAAACCCATACAGATACCTGGCAACAAGACAAACTTTCTTTAACTTGACCAGTAATCTCACGGGAATCTCCAAAAGAAACATCATAGGACCGTCTGGGAACTTTAGCTTATAACTGTGATGAAGTCAGTCTGACAGGCTGTAGCGTGAGAAAAGTTTTAATTAAATCGTTTTTTACACAATTTTGTCATTTAGATGAAAAATGAATTCAGGTCTTAAAAATCCACAGCAGATGGCAGAGGAATTCAAACTGAACTCATTTGTTTAACATCCATAAAATGACCAACTAGTGAGAAACATTCCATTATTTGAATTGTTCAACAAAACGTCACCAATTGATCTGTCTGGAAACTTATTTAGAGCGAGCACAGAGGTTCCTCTAACCACCGAGACACGCTTACTTCTTGTAGGCGGTCTTGACATTGTAGGATGCAGCAGAGTTGAGAACCGGGATCCCCAGATCCATGTAGACCTGCTTCCACACGGTGCCAGACTCGATCTGAAACCCACAAGAAGCCGGAGTTAATGTGGGTTCATCTGTGAGAGGCACCGTCATCATCCCTCACACGAGCAGAACCACCTTGTGGCAGCCTCCCAGGTGGTAGACCAGCCGGAAGAGTTTGAAGAGATTCAGGTCTTTGTACCCAAGCACAGGGGGCTTGTTGATAGGAGTCCCTGAGACACAAAAACAGATCATTTTAGTTGTTCGATACAAAACAAAGACTACATGAGCATAGGTCGTTTATACAGTTTGTAAGTTTGCATCATAAGAAGATGAATTGAAGTCTCCACTGACTCTATAAACCGTGATATTAAACCTGTTGGAGGAGGGAGCCGTTTTAAAAGGAGCAGATCGTCCTGGTGCGTGCGAGTGATTTGTAACCAAAGCTAACTGGTCACATACTGGTAACACAGACCAGCCGGGAGCACTCACCTCTGTCCTCCATGAATTTATAAAGCTGCTGGAGGAAGTTCTCCCTCTCCTCGGGATCTGCTTCCTCCTCCGGCTGAAAACACAGAACATTTTAATTTGTTAACAAGAGTTCTTTATTCCAGCAAGTAAAACATTTCACCAGAACTAAGATTTTCCTGTGAAAATGTCAAGAGCCCACCTCCTCCTTTATGAACTTCTTCTTCTCATCGTCTTCATCTTCATCCTCCTCCTCCTCCAGCTGCTCGTTGCCATCATTGTTGTTGTCGCCCTCCTCTTCTTCACTTTCCTTGTCATCCTTATCTTCTTCGCTGGAGGACGTGTCTAGGATCTGACACATATCCATCTTCCACACATCGGGAACTTCTCTGCTCTTCAGGAACATCTGAGCCTCTTTAAAACCTGCGGAGGGTTAATCGGACAAGAAAAGGATGAAGATGAGCAAATAAAAAAAAGAGGAAGAAGAGAAAGAGCAGTGATGATGAAGGAGGAAGCATCACCTTTTCTGTTAAAGAACTCCAACTTGTTGATACTAACAGTGTTGATGAGGTGGGCGTGTCTTCTCGCCACGGTGTAACTAAAGGAGAACGTAAAACAAGAGATCCTGTGATATCTGTCCACATCCAGTGTTGGACATCAGTGTGTCCTCATGTTTACTGAGCTCCTCTCCTCAGAAACATCACTGATCTCTGGGAGGTAGCTGCTCCACACTCATTCGTCTTTCGACAAAGTTCAAACCAATTACACAAACATCTGTCCTGCCGACTGTGGTACCAGCTACAGATGATGGGTCCACAAGGACATGTCCATGAATACACCCCAAACACAGATTAAACCAAGTAAACTTACAACTTCCCATCGTAGAATGATCTGACCAGACACTGATCCTTCTTCAACACCAGCTCTTCGTTGCAGCTGGGAGACACCATCTGTAGAGACAACAGACAGACACGTTACCCGAGACAGAAGGTAGGACACTTCCACACAGTGGTCCTCTAGACCAGATTCAACCACTCGATTAAAAAAAAAAAAAAACATTTCAGATATCTTCACAGAGAAACACAAAACCAGCTAAGTGCACCAATGATGAGGAGTGAAAACAGTGGATACGACCCAAAGTTCAGAGTTCACAGGGTCAGCTTGTCGCCCTGGGGAATCAGGACTGACTGAACGCTCGGTGTCCAGCTGGTTATAAGATGCACCCAAAAGATAGCTTTGTGTATTTATAACCTGCTGACCCAAAGTATCATGTCTTACCGGTTTTCAGCATTTTCTCCTCCAACTGGTGAGACTACTGCCAATGATTCATGTCTGCCGTCGACTAGCAGGAACTGGACATCCTGAATAAACTTTACCGCTCCACGTTCTCAACAAGTAAAGATCACAGAGTTTATTTCCAGACATCCTAAAATTAAACGTTGTTTTTATTTACCCGAAAGTAGCTAGGAGTCATCAGCTGCAGCGCGCGCGCACAAACTTTAAAAGTGGGAAATTATGAAATAATAGATGTTTAAAACGAGGCTAAATACGGGGAAAATAAAGTCTTTAAGTAGACAGGTTCAAGTCAAGTCGAGTCCAAGTCGCTGGTGTGTACGTAGAATTCAAGTCTAAGTGTTTGAACATTTTTTCCAAGTCTAAAGTCATCAAATGAATGACTCAAGTCCAAGTCATGTGATTCAAGTCCACACCTCTGTTTTTGTGAACTGGCTTTGAGCATATGTGGACATGCCTTATATGGAACCATCATTAGCAAGGACCATTAATGTACCTTCAGATCCCGCAGTAATAGGCTACCCAAAGAGACTACTTGCCAACTAGAATAAGATGTAAGGACTAGTAAACACAGTGAAAAGGTAGGTTTCGAGTTGGTAATATGTTATAAACAGGAAGTTGGTGCTTTAATAAATGGCACGGTTGTTCTTTTTAAAGGGACTTTTCGGACTTTTGAATTTTTATGCTCGCGATTGCCCCCTCAGGCCAAAAGCGTAACGGCAGCTTCAATAGTAGGCTCGTGCACGAGGTGCGCATGCTGTACGTGCACACTCAACGAAAATAACAGCTGAGACAGTCCCATGTGTGTGTGTGTGTGTGGCCCGGAGGACAGAGGACAGGAGAACACGCAGCTAATTAATTAAATAATTTGGTTCTGTACCTTTCTCTTCAGCACAGCCGACAAAGGTTTATGATGGGTCAGTCCTCCTGCATGCTCAGATCATTCCCTTCCCTTGCTTGAAAAATTGTTCCAAAATGAAAGTTGAACCCACATCTTTTTTATCTGTGAATTCAATGCTGTTTGGCGAGTTTCAAATAAAAATTTGGACATCTTACTGTTAAAAAATATACCATTAATGTAAAAAAGAAACTAAAATTTTTACATCCACAATCAAACCCAGGTCTTCCGCATGTGAGTCAGACATTTTACAAGGTGAGCCACACACCAGTAACATTCAGCTACACACCAGTAACATTCAGCTACACACCAGTAACATTCAATGTATCTGTAACTTTTATATCCTTGATGACACCTGAAACAACGTCAATCCAAAGAACGGTTCGGAGCGAAAATGGCTATTTTGTTGCTAATTTGCAGAAGAAAGTTCTACAGAAAGTAGCTAAGGGTCCTCAGAAATGTAGCTAGGTTCATCACTAGGCGTTAGGAACAATGACAAAGTGGCATTACCTCTCTCTCTGCTGCTAAAGCTACGGATAGCAAATGCTACGGGCGATGCCTGAGCGTGAACGCGCATGAAGCAGCCTGCTCGACCCGAGCCTCTCTTTCTCAGTGATTTTACAGAATAACGCAATCACAGTAAAAATGCCAGGGCTCATTCTACAGGACCAGGGCATTGCAGGAGAATTTATGAAGAAGACATTTATTATTTCTATACATGTTTTGGCTGTCAAACTTCCTTGTAGTCCCTTTAAGAAAAATAAAAAAAGAGTTCCCAAAACAAAGCTGAATTAATGCTCGGTCATGCTGCACCACTGAGGGGTTTGGCTTGTTGACGGGGTGTTTTGTTTACCAGAGCCATGAACCAGTTGACGGACTCATCCAAGTTCTCAATGCTGCAGACTTGTCCCAGCAGCTCATCAGTCAGCCTCTTCTTCTCTTCTTCCTCTTCATCACTGGAGGACATGTCGTTCTCCTCATCGGCTCTGAGGTCCAACAGAAAGTCAGAACTTTAATTCACAGCAAGGAGAATCAGAACCACTAGGAGTGAGTACTGGCAACAATGTGATGATATGATAAATATCACAACACAGGGGAGACTATACGATACACATACTGTCATACTGATGATTTTTGAAAATTTTGAGACTGAATTTAATTGTAAAAGTCAGGTTAGATGTTTGCATGACTCAGTGTTATGATGAGATCTCCATGTTTTTTCAGAATGAAGGCGGTAAACACTGCTGCCACCTAGCAGTCGGTGTTTGAATTGCACCAAGCAAAAGAAATAGTAAAAGTTTGCATAAATTCTCAATGAAGGATTGATACACTGCTTTTAAATATTGATTCAGTATCAAAATATTTAAATGTATTGATATTTTCTTACATCCCAAAAACCCAGCTTCTCCTTTTTTTAACTATACAGATCCAAAACTATTCTCAAAGATCAGAACCCCCAACCTGATTTAAAGACAGTTCATTGATCCAACTGATAAAATTGTACTTAGTAATTGTTCAGACTTCACGTCTTACTCATAAAACATCTGAGAAACAGGAAGTTGGATGAGGATGTGAGTTTGAAACTCCATCATGCTTTCATTTAAGCAAGAGAAGTTTCTGCATCCCTTTGCACACGCTGATGGTTTTCTGTTGCAAGTGAATTAATTTCTGTCTAATTTTTTACTTCAGTTGTTTTGTTTATGCAACAGTATTTGCTCGCTCCCTTGAGGGGGGTGAACAAAAGCTGGTTCCTCTGCATGGTCCACCGGCTCTGCTTCAGACAGAAAACCCTCATCGTTCATATTGGATGAGGGAAGTGAAAAGTAATGGGCTCGACACACGGGAGGCGACAAACGACCGCGATCAGCGAAATTTGTCGCTGTCGCTTTTATTACCTGACACACGGGAGGCGATCCGCGGCAGCGGCAAAGCCGTCTACGCGTTCTGTTCCATGGCGAAATCGAAACTTCCGTTGTTTTGTTTGGCTGTGTCAGGTTGGAGGGAATTAAGGTTATTTAAGCGGTTCAGAGTTAATAAAGTGGTAGATATGATGTTTCACAAGGTGCTGTTAGAGTTATGTGAAATCTAACTTCTGATTTTACTATATAAAACATAATAATAATCAACTTCTCCTCCATGTTTGCTCGGAGATGTACGGAGCATCCTGTCCGCTCATTGGTCAGTGAATGAAACCTCCGTTGATTGGTCCTCGTCCGAGCGACAGCGATGAAAAGTTGAAAATGTTTCAACTTTCTTGGATCGCATCGCTGGGTCGCCTGTGCATGACACGTGCACGACCGCAAAATTTCACACGCACGTTTTTCGCGTTTCGCTTGGTAGGAGGGAGACCCGCGATTATCGCTTTGTCGCGCATGTCTCATTGAAAATGAATGGAGGAGAGGCGATGTCGCCTCCCGTGTGTCGAGCCCATGAGGCAGCAGCCTTCAGTAATTCTGAGTAGCATGTCATGCTTTTGGCCTTCTTAAAAAACGTGGTGTACTTCTGGTACACCTGCAGTCACTGAAGTTCTCACTGGTCACCTGTCATCATAAATGGCCTCCCCCTTCTCACCCAGGTACTTGCTTACAGACTTCAACGTAATTCTCATCTGTTGGCTCACTCAGATCATCCACATAAGTGTTGAAAATTCCTGAACTTCAGAATGTAAAGACATTGCATATCTGCACTTTCCCAAACTCCACACTTCTGGGCCAGTGGCTGGAAAATGTTGCTCTATTGCTTTAGCCTTGCTAGCACCCCATAGCCTGGTGTCCATGCAATTTCATCCTGGATGCAATGGGAGCGTAGGAACTCCTACAGATCCTGCCAGTTGCAAGCTGGTTATAACTATGCAGAATAGGATAAAAAATAAAGAAAAGAGATAGAGAGCACAAAGCTGCTATCTATCAGGCTTCACTGCCATCTTTACTGGCTATACCCATCAGTGTCTGGCTCATCACTCAGCTTCAACAGAGGCCAACTCACACAGCCTGGGATGACCGTCGGCCGCCTCGGTTGGACTTCTTGCCAATGACTGGAGTCCCAAAATGCTCTGGGTTCGTCAGCGGCAGCTGGTCCAGCGTCTGCACCAAACACCATTTCAACATGGTTTTTTTTCAGTCTGTGATGAAAACTCAAGATCTCCACCTGCCACACAACTTACCTCACTCACTGCAAAATGTCTCTCCCCCTTCAGACACAGCGACGTTCGTCGAAGAGTCTTCTCATCGCCATCATCAAAGACTGAAACACACCAGCACCAGTGAACAAATGATAGGTCCAGCCCCTAAGCTGCATGCCAGAAGAGCTGAGCAGTGTGTGTAGGTGTGTGTGTGTGTGTGTATAATGGAAAGTGCCTTGCTTTAAAAGCAGTAAATACATTTTCATTATTAATTTATTTATTTTTCTCTTTGCAAGCTCAATACCACACAGATACACAAACTGGTCATAGAAACATGCTATCCACTGTACTTTTCAAGTTCCTTATGGAGAGTAGGGTTGTCATGGTAACCGGTGTAGCGGTAAACCCCGGTAAAAAAATTGACAATAATAATAACCGTCTTGTTTTTAGAAAAACTATATTATCTCGGTGGGTTACCGTGGCTGCGGTGTAGGCGCGGTGACCCTTACCAGCCACCGTATCATCTGCTGAAGTTGCCGGCGGCACATGCGCACTTTGTTGTTTACAACCAAAACTTTCTTGAAGCTAAAGCTGAAATAATGGCCAAAGGAGGAGACGGCAGCACTCAGGACATTTATTATCCCTCAAAGAAGTCAAAGTCAGAAGTACGGGCATCTTTTGGATATTTGAAGAATGCCGAGGGACAGTTGATAGAAGACGGCTATCCTGTTTGCAGCACGTGCAGAAAAAGTGTCTGTGAAAGGCAGCAACGCTTCAAATCTCATGACACATCTGCGTGACCATCACCCACAACTCTACAGTCAACGCAAGGCAAGCTAACGTTAGCGTTTTAGCTAAAATGCGTGATCCGAGGATTTGGGTTGAGGGAGAATGCAACGAGTCGCTATATAAAGCAGCCGCAGCGCCGCTACCTGCATATAAACCGTGTCGCGGACACCCCCATGTTGAAATGACGCTATGCAGTACGGGGCTCCCAGGGGCAGATAAGAGTTGGTCTCTCTCCGAGAATAATTATGAATTTAACAATGATTACTGCCTGATGACATTTTCCCACATCTGCAAAGCTCACTGGAACACAAACCGAGGACGATATTTTCCTGATATAGGGTTTATTACTCAAGTAAGGGTAAAAAAGTATCTGATTAGAAGGCTACTTGAGTACCGAGTATCATCTGATCTACTACAGGTGCTGGCCAGTAAATTAGAATATCATCAAAAGGTTGAAAATATTTCAGTAATTCCATTCAAAACGTGAAACTTGTACATTATATTCATGCAATGCACACAGACCAATGTATTTCCAATGTTCATTACATTTAAATTTGATATTCATAAGTGACAACTAATGAAAACTCCAAATTTGGTATCTCAAAAAATTAGAATATTCTGAAAAGGCTGAATATAGAAGACACCTGCTGCCACTCTAATCAGCTGATTTACTCAAAACACCTGCAAAGGCCTTTAAAAGGTCCCTCAGTCTTGTTTTGAAGGCACCACAATCATGGGGAAGACTTCTGACTTAACAGCTGTCCAAAAGACAATCATTGACACCTTGCACAAGGAGGGCAAGACACAAAAGGTGATTGCTAAAGAAGCTGGCTGTTCGCAGAGCTCTGTGTCCAAGCACATTAACAGACAGGCGAAGGGACGGAAAAAATGTGGTAGAAAAAAGTGTACAAGCTCTAGGGATAACCGCACCCTGCAGAGAATTGTGACGACAAACCCATTCAAAAATGTGGGGGAGATCCACAAAGAGTGGACTGCAGCTGGAGTCAGCGCTTCAAGAACCACCACGAGGAGACTCATGAAAGACATGGGATTCAGGTGTCGCATTCCGTGTGTCAAGCCACTCTTGAACATGAAACAGCGCAAGAAGCGTCTCGCCTGGGCCAAGGACAAAAAGGACTGGACTGATGCTGAGTGGTCCAAAGTTATGTTTTCTGATGAAAGCAAGTTCTGCATTTCCTTTGGAAATCAAGGACCCAGAGTCTGGAGGAAGAGCGGAGAAGCACAGAATCCACGTTGCATGAGGTCCAGTGTAAAGTTTCCACCGTCAGTGATGGTGTGGGGTGCCATGTCATCTGCCGGTGTTGGCCCACTCTGTTTCCTGAGGTCCAGGGTCAATGCAGCCGTCTACCAGGAAGTTTTAGAGCACTTCATGCTTCCTGCTGCTGACCAACTTTATGGGGATGCAGACTTCACCTTTCAACAGGACTTGGCACCTGCACACAGTGCCAAAACCACCAGCACCTGGTTCAAGGACCATGGTATCCCTGTCCTTGATTGGCCAGCAAACTCGCCTGACCTTAACCCCATAGAAAATCTATGGGGTATTGTGAAGCGGAGGATGCAATACGCTAGACCCAACAATGCAGAGGAGCTGAAGACGACTATCAGAGCAACCTGGGCTCTCATAACACCTGAGCAGTGCCACAGACTGATCGAGTCCATGCCACGCCGCATTACTGCAGTTATTGAGGCAAAAGGAGCCCCGACTAAGTATTGAGTGCTATACATGCACATTCTTTTCATGTTCATTCTTTTCAGTTGGCCAACATTAGAGAAACAAACATTTTTTCATTGGCCTTTAGAATATTCTAATTTTCTGAGATACCAGATTTGATGTTTTCATTGGTTGTCACCTATAAATATCAAAATTAAACGTAATAAACATCGGAAATACATTGGTCTGTGTGCATTGCATGAATATAATGTACAAGTTTCACGTTTTGAATGGAATTACTGAAATATTTTCAACCTTTTGATGATATTCTAATTTACTGGCCAGCACCTGTATTTTTAAAATGATCACATCAAACAGACAAAAAATAAGAAGTTATGGGCAAATATTGGTATTTTAAAGACTAAAGGGGAAAAATGTAAACAAATAAACAACATAATTACAAAATAACACATTTTAGGCAAAATTTAGACAAAAACTGAGGACAATATTTTCCTGATATACAGGGTTTATGTAGTCGTCTGAAAATGTAACGCGTTTAAAAAAGTACCGCGATAATACCGAAAACTGTGATACCTTTGGTCACAATAACCGTGAGGTTAAATTTTCACACCGTGACAACCCTACTCATGAGTAATGTTACCACCTTACAGGTGATTAGCTGTGTCATGTGATCTGATAGATAGGACACTTACCCACAGTGTACATACTGGCATCTGTCAGCTTACTGATGGTGGCCTCGCTGCACACACCCTCATTGGTCCTCACCTCCACAGTGGAACCCACCTAAAACAGGAAGTCATCATCATCATCCCTTATTTATATAGCACCTTACAGGTATGAGGCATGCCACCAAAGTGCTGCTCAGTAACAAATTAAAACAGACAAAATCAACAAAGACAGTTAAAGCCAACAAGTGAAAACAGAGTAAAATCGTGTAAAAGATCAGCAACAAACCACTACTGATGAGGAAAGCCTAACAAACAAGGGAAGTGCATCCCACAGTTTCGGTCCTGCCACAGACAGCTCCTCATCCCTTCTTGTCTTCAACTGAGCTCTAGGAACCAAAGCAGCAACTGGCTCTCAGAGCGGAGCACCCAAGCTGGGACATAAGGCTGCAACAACTCAGCCAAATAGGCAGGAGCCTTAAATAAATTTAAAGGTGCATTATGTAGAAATGAAGTAAAAATGACAGCCTGTGGTAAAATTTGGTTACTGCAAACACTTTAAACAACTCTGGAGCTTCATCATCAAATTGGCTTGTAGGCGACACGTCACCCCCACACTCACTGATGGTAAACAGTAGTTATGTTCCTCCTTGCTTTGTTTTGAAATGAGAAAAACTGACAATCCCCCACAGCCAGCTGGATATGAAATGTGTTTCAGTGTAAACTTCCTTACAAAATGACTGAAATATTAAGACTCTTTCGGGATTTTCTCACTGTAAAATTCTCAAAATATACTCTACACACTGGACCTTTAAAAGAAGTTTAAAACAAATTCTAATATCAACAGGTTGCCAATCATGAGCAACCAGAGCTGGTGTCACATGTTGAAATGTTCTCTTGCCTTCCAAAAATCTCACTGCAGCATTCTGAACGAGCTGCAGGCGAGCGACAGAGCCCTGACTTACACCAAATAGGAGAGGTACAGCAATCTAAGCGTGAGGTCATGAAGGCATGAACAGAGTCAAGATCCTGTCTACACAGGAATGGCTTCACTTTAGCCAAGCATCTCAGATGGATACCACAGCACCAACGTGAGCATCAAACAACAAAACATTGTCCTGCTTCACACCAATATTGACCACAGAGGAACTCAGGTAGGACTTCAAATCACAAATGGTTTTGGACTTTCAAAGATCCAGGATGGTCCATAAAGGTAGATGGGTTTCATCTAGCATAGCTCCTCAGCAGTAGGACGAGCTGCCCTTACATATCAAACCAGGTTCAATTGTTGTTTTTGAATCTGAAAAAATCACTTTCTCTGTCTAGAGATTGTTCGATAGCGAAGGGTACCGAATTCTGTACTTTTTTTAAAGGTACCGACCGAATTCCATAGTACCGACCGAGCACCGATTCACGTCATTTCAAACGGTGCCTCGTTTCGGTACCCGTCCATCATAACGAGAACTTGCCAAGACAGCTGCGCATGCGCAAGAGCGTTATGTCGTTGCTCGCTGCGAACCAGTTGTAAACAGAGCAGCATGGTAGAAAGAACGCAGGCTAAAGCTTGGGTCCACTTCACTAAATGTGATGGGTAACTGGGTGATGATGAAACCAGCGACAACGATCTAAGTGAGACATCCTCATCTTAATCTGCTCCGGTAGGTAAATAAAATGTTTAAGATAACGTTAGCTTGATATGTTAGCTTCCGTTTCGCTAATGGTGCGTTCGCTTTCTCCTCGGAACTCTGAATTTCCAACTAGAACAACATGAACGTGCTCTAAAGTTTGGCTTCACTTTACTAAATGTGACGGGTGATTGGGTGAAGACAAAACCAGCGACAACGATCTAAGTGTGAGGCATCATCGTTTTAATCTGCTCCAGCAGCTAAATAAACTGTTTAGGATAACGTTAGCTTGATATGTTAGCTTCCATTGCCACCATTGTTATCATCTAATGGTGTGTTCGCTTTCTCCTCGGAAATTCTAACTTCCCAGTAGGAAAAATCAAATGAAAAAAGACGGCAAAAGGAATGAAGATACACAGTAAATTTAGTTCACAGTAAAGATGTTTGCTTCAGTTTAATTATCAGCTTATAAAACTACAAGGACGATGTTAAAATACAAACAGCTGAATGTTATTTATCGTGATATTTATCAAATATTGTTATATATTGAGAAAAATATATATTTAATTATAAAAAAGAATTAAAATAATAAACACTCAAAAGTATCGAAAATTGGTACCGTTAAGTACCAGTATCGATTCCTAGGCACCGGGAATTAGTACCGCATCGATTCAAATGTCAAAGGTACCCATCCCTATAATGTTCGAGGATTCTCAACTGATGGTCTTCGATTTTACAGTGTTAGGAACAGCATTTTGCGAAGCTTTCAGTCTGAAAATGGCTTTAAATACAGAGCTTTCCATTTTAAATGAAACATTAGTAACAATCTTACCCTCAGGGGTCCCTTCACCTGGTCGTCCTGGATCACCTGAGACGTGCTTTCACCTTTCAGAGTCACCTGGAGACAAAGAGAGAGAAAGAAGAGAGATCAGTGTTTTAATGGGTTCCCCTGAGATGGATAAACTGAATTTGGCATCATAAAAACATTTAAAAGTTATGGGCAAAAGTAAAACTTGAAACTGATTCTGAATTTCACCTGACTAAAAATGGAAAGGAGCAAAAAAAGGTAGGTGGTAAAACTAAACAAACACGGTTCCTTTTTCTGACACAGTTACACAGAAACGGCCATGTTACTACGGATGTCTTCACCACCATTTTTGCCTGCAAGCTAAAAGCTAAAAGAGCTAAAAGCTAAAAGTGAATTCCCCTTAAACTGTGTGACGTTAGTGTTATCATTCAACAATGATTACTGATGTAGTAGACTAGTAGACGGACATGAAAACGGGTCATGGGTGAAAAATGACCCAAAACCGGCTCGTTAGAGACAACATGGCCTACACCATAGCGTTTCTTTACCACCACGGGTGAATGAGAACGCTTCCACTGCATTTCATTTGAGGTGCGTCCTCATCACCCTCAAATTATTAATCAACCCATGTCCGCTCTGACCCATCGGGCTTACTCCGTTCGGGCTCGGATCGTACAAGCGGGGAAGAGCCGACTGGAGGTCTACACAGGAGACCTATCCTCCTGTTCAAAGCGGCAAATTTTGCCAAAAGGTAAGGGATTTTCATGTCCGAGTAAAAAAATGTATAAAAAAAAGAAAAAAGAAAACCAAGTCATTGTTTTTACGTTTGCAGATCTCACGAAGAATTTCAAAGGTCAAGCTTGTTGTTTTATAAGGTTAGACTTTTTGTGTCTTTTGCTGCAGAAAAGAAGAAAACCTGTAGGACACGCATGTCTCTGTCTTCAGCTGTAACGGACACCACAGACTGCTGATGGAGGACAGATTCAGGGATGCTTGGTGGTAAAAAGTCCTTCTTGGTGCAGCTCATACCTTGACCTTGACCATGCGCTTAACAGTCTTGATCTTGGCTTCACAGAATGCTCCTCTGTACTTGGCGCTGACATCTGTCCCCACTGTCAGGCAGGCAGGCTCGTCTGCTGCCTGAGACACAGAAACACACACACACCAGTGTCAGTAATTAAACCAACTCTAAACATGTGAAGGAATAAGCGTTTGATTATTTTTGATTCCAACCGTTCCAATTCCAGGAGAAATAACAGCACAACATGCAACTACGATGATGTTTAAAAACAATAACAGAGGTCACAAGTTTAAATCCCCTCAAAAATGTGCATCTCAACCTTTTGTCTCCACCAATAAGCTTCCGAACTCTGGGTGATTTTTGGTACTTCTTGGCAGACCAGCTTGTTTAAATTGACAGGTTTCCTGGTAATAACTTGGCTTTTAGTCCACAAATGTCTGACTGGATTGAGGTTGGACGCAGAAACCAGTTCTTGGTCCATTGTCGCTTCTTTGCTCACGCTTCCACTGGAAAGCTAAACTTCACAGCTCTTGGGTTATTTAACACCACCTAACCTCCTCACTGCAGCCAAAGCTCAGCCTTTTGCATTCTCTTTGTATGCAACAAGATGTTTAGCTCAACAGCTGTATTTCATTTGCCTTTACACATCCATTGTGTTTTTTCCTGACCATTTTTCACCTTTCATATTGCTTTTGTTTACCCTTTGTTTATATTTGTGTCGATAGTTTGTGCATTTCTCTAATCTAAAAGGGAGGGCATCTAATTTCATTTAACTTGTTTCCGTGACAAAGATTCATTCATCGAGCTGACGGTTTGAGGTGACGGCAAGGAACGTGGAAGTAGTTCTCCTTTGTTATTGCACCTGGACCATAGCATGATGCTACCACCGCCATGCATTAAAGATGGTACGGTGTTGTGGAGTCTGAACATTCCACGATGACACTTCCAAGCAAACTTCTTGTAATTATGACCAAAGATCCCAACCAGACTACTTTTTTCCTTCTCCAGAAGACATTTGTTCAGTTGATATGATAGCTGCAGATACCAGCTCATCTTGAACGTATCTCACTTGGGTCTTCTGCCAGACTTTGGGAAACTAAACTGTTGTTGTTCGACAGGATGACCTTGGAAGCTGACGCTGCTCAGGAATAGCTTCAAAAGACTCTCGCCAACTTCAGTTCCTTAAGACTTTCCTGTTGTTCTAAGTGTTGCTAAATCTCATATGTTTATGTTTAGGTACTCAGCAGACGCTTTTGTCCAAAGCAACTTACAGGTGATAATCAAGCCATCAGGTTGCCCTTGAGGCCAACAACAAACACTACTCAGTCAGTCCTAGGTGGTTCTGAGGCAGCGTAATCAATCATAGAGGGAAGCGAATATGGAGTGGTGGACAGATGCTGGGAGGGTGCTAGTTTAGAAGATGCTCTCTGAAGAGCAGGGTCTTCAGAAGTTTCTTGAAAATCAACAAGGAAGCCCCTGTTCTAGTAGTGCTTGGTAGATCATTCCGCATCTGTGGAGCGACACATGAAAAGAGTCTGGATTGTCCTGAGCGTGGTGTAGCCACTGCTAGCCGGCGATCCTTCGATGACCGAAGCGGCCGGGCCGTGACGTAAGCCTTTGCAAGAGGATTCAGGTAGATGGGAGCTGTACCATCTAGGATTAATCCTTTTAATGCTGTAAAGAGAAAGAGTCAGCCACCAAAAAACCAAATGAATCACCACGCCTCAAAGGAAGCTTTTGACTGCAACGGCAAGCCAGAGTTTAATTCAAACTCTAAAAGACTTTTAGTGCGTTCTTAACATGTCCAGGTCTCTGGACAGGTCTTCAGATAAAGATGAGTGAGACAGACAACAACACTAACCCTAGCTCTCACCACGCGTTTTGGTCTGTGGGAGGAAACCCTAGGCCCATGACCCCAGCCGGGTGTTGAACCTGCAAACTTTGTGTTTCGAGACAAAAGTGCAACCAATTCACCGCCAGAGTTTGTTTCCTGAAGGTGTGAGATTAAAAACAGTTGCATGCCACATAAGGTCAAAAAGTGCCCAAACTGTTTCTGTCATCAGTCTATCTGGTAAACCTTTAAACATGAAAACCATCACCTCTCTCCCACCAGCCCTGACCTGGAGAGAAATGCACCGTTCCATAAAATAAACACAAATGTGGCGTTGACTGCTAAACAAAGCTTCAACTCTTTAAAAATGTACATTAAAAAAAATCTCTAACACATTTAAGTCTAAACCCATGAAAGCTAAATCGCTACACATCTGGTGCTGTGGACTAAAAACTAAAACTAGTGATTAGTGAGAAACATCTCCATCCCAGCAAGAAACAAACATGACCAGCCACAGAGAGATTCTGTTTCTGTTGATGTTACAGGCCCCACAGAGCTAAGCGCCAAAATAACAATTACTGTTGGTCCTGATGTGGACCAGACCCGGAGACACGGGAGAAACAGAGCAACGAAGAAACAGGACTTGTAGCTTTTCACCGTCCGTCGCTTTTGGAGTCCCACGTGCAACTTGGTTGAAAGAAAAGTTCCTGCCCTGTAATTTCCTCCAAACGTCCCTGTTGTTCTTACTGGGAGCGTTAACAGCAACATCACCTGTAATGCTACTTAACTCACAAAAGCTGTTTTTACAGTTGACGATTTGGGAGAGCCGAATGAGGGGATACAAGTGTATTCACGCCAGAAATGTAGCCTGTTAGCTAGCTAGTAACAACACTGAGTCTGAAAACAACATGTCCTCTGCTCCCTTGGAGTCTGCAACACTTCACACAGACTTCACAGTTCTCCTGGACCCAGAGCTAACACTTTAGCAGTCATAGTCTCTGGACTTAGCGAGGCTTGTTTGTCGGCCTCATGTTTAGCTGATAATATCACCAGTTCCTTCTTAAACATCATAAATAACCAAAACATCTACATTTTAGCACTTACAACAAAAGTGGAAAAGCTGAAACCCATAAGAGTTTGGGATGAGGGGGAGGGTTTTATTTCTTTAAAGCAGATTTTAAAACATGACAGCACCACAATGCCCACAAACTCTACGTTTTAAAAACTGCTTCTTTGTGCGAAAGATTCCAGTAATCGGTTGTGGAATAAAGCGCTGTTTTTGGTGTGAAAGGCATAAACCATTGTCTGCTGTCTTAATCATCAACAACCTCCCTAAAAAAAATCTGCTAAACAAGGTAAACATGTTGAAGAAAGCTGGCTGTAATGTGTGGATTTATTTACGGTTGTGCAAAAATCTCCAGTAAATACAAGAAGTCTGTGCAACCTTGTCTGAGTAACAAACGATACCGGGAACAACAAGGTGTTGCTGGGCTGACGAAGGACGACAGTCTTGTCAGCTCCAGCAGTCAGCACCGACTGGGATGACGAGGAATCCCAGTAACACTGTGCTTAGGGTTCTAGAAATGCAATCATCTGTCTGATGCTGAATGAGGGGACACCTGCTACAGAAACAAAGTCCCCATTCTGATTCACAGGAAGCTATTTTTAATTTAAAGTTTTAGAAGTTTGAGCTAAAATAAACTTCCACCCAGAGCCAGATCTACAGCGTTCTACTCTTAAGTCCTGGAGTGGACGCATTAGTTCAGATGAGACTCATTCACCAACAGCAATACTGGTGATGATCTGGTGCATCTCTGAAGGTTGAGGCTCAGATCTGTGTGACACCAAACCTGAACCATGATGACACGAAACGGCTCTCTGTGGGATGCGGATGCGCGTTCAGTGTTTGGTCATCAGCTGGTTCGGGTTTGGTGTCACGTTGGAAAGAGAACATTAAGCTCAGAGGCAGGATTTGCATAGAAGGAAATCACTCACCTTCATCTCCTCTGCTAGTCCAGGGAGTCCAGCTCGAAGGATTTTAAATCACTGAAAGACAGAATCGTGGAGAGATGGTGGTAAGCTCATAAAACTGGAGGTACCAGAGTCCAAACTGAGCAGGCTTACACCGACACCATGTTTGAAGCTAACCAACTAGCCACGCACTTGTGTTAGCTTTGACATTCTTTACTCCTCCCCCTCCCTCACCCGGATCAGCAAATATGTGATACAAAACAGCCCGGACAGACCAAGATGGTAACGTTTACTTTAACTGAACGTGAAGTTGGAGTGGCGTCGGGCTGGAAGGGCTCAGTGAACGGGCACAAAGCGACTACGTCGCGGCCAAAAAGGAGCCTTACCTTTCCACTTCCCGCTCCGTTCTCAACGCAACGGAGTCACGTCGCCATCACAGCTCGCCATGTCAGTTAGCTCGGCTAACTTTACCGCGTACACCACCATCCCAGCAACCCGCTGTAGAGGGAGAACCGTAACGAACAAACACCGACCCAGAGTTCAACCAGAAGGCGAACCGAGCGGGCTTTGCTTCCTCGTTCTGCCCAAAGCGTCATTTAGCTAGTTGGCTATGAGGTGTCTCAACTAGCCAGTTCACCATCAGACAGCGATTTAAACTGTCACACAACAGCGACCTCGACTAGCTACCGCTCAGGCTGTCGTTGGGTTCTGGGCATCAAACAAGGTTCCACCGAAACCGGAGCCTGTGACATCGGACGGGGCTAGCTGCTGCGAATTTATTTATTTAATAAGCGGCTCTTCCACAAAGGCTTCACATTTCTTCACTGCCATTCAGTTCAACACGAGTGGGTTCGTCCTGAAACACACAGCCGCTCCCTCCCGACACTCTCCCCTTTTTCTGTCACGAGAACAGCCACCATTTCGAAAGATCAAAGTAAAGTGTTATCCGGGTAAATGTAAAGCTTTATACTCACGGCCACCGTTGCTTCCTCTCTCGGGCTGCAAAGCAATACACGAACAACAAGCTGTTGAGCCCCGAGCTACGTTTTCCGGCACGTGATTGGCCGAACTGACAGCAGGGGTCATAAAGAAAGCATCTGATTGGTGGAACGTTTCTACAATTTCCATAGGACGTACTTTTTAAGGAATCGTCATTGGACGAAACGAACGCAGCGCCACGAGGGAAATGACGACAACAGAAGGTTTGTTATCCAATCACAGTCAAGTTGAAGTAACATTAAACAAAAAAAGTGACTACTCCGATTGGACAAATATGTTTGGGTCCAGAAGAACTGCGTTTTTATTGGATGAACAAAAAGCTTCCGCGTTACATCGCATGTTGCCGAGTCCGGTGTGACTATGCGCAGCTGGATATTTGCGCACTAAACTTCAGACAAAAAAAATCTGAAAAATTATCATCCGTTCTCCACAAGGCCTCACTAAAGGACTGACATGAACAAAAATAATATCAATCAACATTTAAAAAAATGTGGGACTGAGAATTTTAAGGGCAACTTTAACTTTTACTATCCCACCAAACGGATCTCATATTATTTTATTTTATGGTTGATTACTGGGCAGACTAAGGATGAGGACCATCCTCTGTGATTGTGACTGAACTGAATGGTGTGTTCATTGGACTGCTTTCCTTTGGCTGCTTGTATATAATCTTATTTTTGTCTCATTGTAGAATATTTGTAATTACTGTGTTTTTATTGTTATTCTCAAACTTTAAGAGCTGTATTTCCCCTGATCAATAAAGTATTTCTTAGGGAGTTTTAAATTCAGCTGATCATTTTGTAATATTCATAATATAAGCATTTCTGCATTTTTATCATTCCTGTTAAATCCCTTGTTCCAGATCAATGGTCCCACTTTCCTCTCTGCAAATGATCCGAATTATGATTGAAAGCCTTTTGTTTTAAAAATACTTGCAGTCTCATAAAGCGTGACCAAACTCACAGAGTGGGATTAAGACCCTACAGGTGAGAAATGAGACACACGGGTGTATCATGGTCAAGTCCAAAATAATTCACCTCTGGAGTTGATGTGACGTCCACGTTCCTTTCCTCCAATTAAAGCTTTTGATTTTGGAGACTGTATTAAATACTCCATATTATTTTGTGATCTGATTAATAATATTTTTGTCCAATCTGCAGGGTTTAAGCCACTCACTGATTTATTTTCTGAACTTGAGTCATTCCTCAGCAGGGTCTCAGGCTTGGGGAGCTTGTGTCTGTCCCCAGAAGATCCTGAACATGTCTCCAGTCCATCACAGGGACAGTCACTCACATACAGGGACTATTTAGAGTCATCAGGTTAACATGCATGCTTTTGGTCTCCAGGATAAAACCTACACATACATGGGGAGAACACGCTAACTCCACAGAGATTGACTCCAGCTTGGATTTGAATCCATAGCCTTCTTTCTGCAAAGCAAAATTGCTAATAAAGGTTCCAGCAAGCAGCCCACCTTCAGGTTTTAACTCTTTAATGATTAGGAGTTTAGATGTTTAATGTATTTCATGCAACTACATTGTTTCTTTTAACAGGAAATGTCTCATTCTCATGTCAGAACATTCTCTAAACTAAACCGAGTGATCAAGTCTTTAACACATAAAACTTTTGAACTGAATGACAAAAATTATCAAAGATATGTCAAATATTTTCATAATTCTTCATTTTATTATTTTCAGATACCATAAAAACTGCAAGTTAAATGTATTTCAAAAGACCAACTTGAAGTCCGAACTTTAAAGAACATCCAGTTTCCCGTCATGGTCTGACTCAGAAAGGCTGACAAAGAGAAAAAGAAAAATCACGATGATGAGCCTTTATCCAACAGACAGGTGTCAGAGCTCTGGCTTGGTCTGATACTGAAACAGAACATCTGTTCTAGTCTTTGTCCTGGAGAGGGTGGCTCTGCCAGAGCAGGACCGCTCTTGATCCATTCCCTTTGAGCCCAGTTCAACGAGGCTGACCAAGCAGTCCAGCTTTAGCAGCAAGAGCCTCGTTCTGCTGAATGTGATACTCCTGGAAACGCATGGAGATCCGCTGAGTCATCTTCAGATACTTCTGTAGGCAGGACTCTGAGCAGCTGGACTGGAATCACAAACAAGAACATCCATTCAGTTAACAAATTAAAATGGCCTATATGTGTATAGTTCATTCTTAGGGTTCTACAACCCCCCAAGGCGCTTCACTACACAATCAGTCATCCACCCATTCACAGGCTGGTGATGACGAGCTACAATGCAGCCACATCTGCCCCGTGCCGCTGAAGGAAGCCAGACTGCCAAACACGGGCTCCACCGACCCCTCTGACCACCACCTGCAGGCAAGGACAGCTTAAGTGTCTTGCCTAAAGACACAACAGCAGCATTCTCTAGCAGGAGCCAGGATCAAGCCTAGAACCTTCCGATTACTGAGCTACTGCTGTCCTTTTCGGACAAATAACAAATTCCCTCCTGTGAACTATTTAATATTTAATTAGAATCATTTTACTGAAGGATGCTTTCACAGAGGAGCCAGCATGGTCCATAACACGATGGTGCATCTGGTCTTCCATCAGCCCAAATAAGCACACTTCACCCCTCTGTTGACCTTCCAATGGCTCCCGTTAGCCACGCGCATCAAATTCAAGTCACTGATGTTAGTCTACAACAGGGGCAGGCAACCCTGGTCATAGAGAGCCACAGTCCTCCTTGTTTTGCAACTATCTTTGTTGTTCCCGCTGCTGATTGCCTGAATCAGGTGTGTTCAGCCAATTAGAAGCTGCAAGTTTATGCATGGCTGGAAAACATGCAGGACTGCGGCTCTCTAGGACCAGGGTTGGCTTCCCCTGGTCTACAAGGTCCTGAATGGAACTGCTCCCAAATACTTGAATCCTCCTGCAAAGGCTGGCATCACGACTCAGTTACTCTGATCATCTAAAGGCCCCTTTTCTGAGTTGTTGAAAGACGGTGGGATGACCTACTGAGCACAACCAGAACAGGGACATCTCTGTTTATAATAACGGTCTTGGTTGGGTGGTAAGACTTTAGAAAATACCTGGAGTTTTCATGATAGAGCCAACAGGTACTCCTAATCAATTAGAAATAAGCACAGGAAAGAATTGAGGCAGTTTCTCAATCAGACAAAAAAAACTTCCCTTCAACAATTTAAGCATTTTTCATATTCCCCCCAAATTTTTTTTGCATGTAATTTGTGAAAATATGCTCATAAACATAGTTTCACCCACATGAAAACTCGGCCAGAAACCTAAACGTTGCTAGGATTGTATGTTGTAAAGCTGCCATGAAAATACACCCAAAGAAGGTGTGGAGCATGAAGCTGAGTATGAAAGGCTTCTACAGAAGGTGGAGGTAAATGTACCTGTCAGAAAGGTTAGATAAGGATGTTGAATAAAACAGCAAGAACCAAATAAACTGTATAGAGCGATCATGAAAGAGGAATTTTAAAGCAACACTCAAGGGTTTTTAATACTTTAAGCTATTGCTTTCAACGTGGTTTTAGTGATTCTTGAGGTAGAAACTGTGGCGACTTCACATCTGACAAAATTCTGCAGCCCTCTGCTGACCAAGAAAAACACTTTACAGTTTTGTGGTTTGAGTAGGTTCACTAGAGCAGGGGTGGATGAACATCTGACTGCATGGACCATCAACTACCTCCCCAACAGGCCGCAGTACGTAAGGCTGCACAACTGTATGTCTGAGGTGGTTGTGTGCAGAATGGAGCTCCACATGGTATGGTGCTCTCACCCTCTCTCTTCACCTTCTACACCTGCAGCTGTCCAGCACATCCAGAAGTTCTCAGATGACTCAACCATTGTCGGCTGTGTGTCTGAGGAGAATGACCTGGCAATAATCATGGACTTTGTGAACTGGTGTGAGAGTAACCAACTTCGCTTGGACACAAGTAAGACAAAGGAAATGGTGATTGACTTCTGGAGAAACACTCCTCCTCACTCACCAGTAAACATCCAGGGACCAGACATTCTCCACTTCATAAATCGGAGACTAAAGAGAATGTTTCTTAGCTGCATTTTAGTCACATCCCACCCTCGCCACGCCCACTTTCTGCCAAAAATAGTCAATGCAAAGTGCCTTGTGGATCTCATGCATATACATAAGCCGGCTGTTGCAGCGCTCCGCCAATGACATGGCGACCGTAGATCAAGGCAGATCAAGGAAGCGCAATTTCACAAAAGCAGAAATTGAGGAACCTGTGGGTGAGGTGGAGAAATGAAAGGAAGTGCTTTTGCAAAACAAATAAGAAAATCCACGGAGTGGCACAGCGTTGCTGAAGCCGTTAATGTTGTGAATTCGTCAGAGAGATCTGTGGCTGATATAAAAAAAATGGTCCAATCAGGATTCGATCCCCAGACTCCCGGGTGGAAGTCACGCGCACTAACCAGTCACCCAAACAGAGATCTCCCTTGTCCAAGTAACCAGGACGCATGATCAATCTGGTTACAAGTGACAGGACACACACTGTCACAGACGCATGACATTCTGTCTCAATCTGTCCCCCTGCTGATGTTCTGCATTCCGTATTCTGCGCTTCAGGCTGTGTGTGTGCGCGCGCGTGCATGTGTGCGTGAGTGTGCGCACATGTATGTGTATGCGCGCGCATGTGTGTGAGTGTACACGCATGTATGTGTACGCGCGCGTGTGTGTGTGTGCGTGCGTGTAGGGGGTCTTGTTCTGTGTGAAAACGAAGCAGTACAAGTGATAAAGCTGCAGGATTTCATAATTTTATCCTTCTCAGCAGCAGCTCTGCAGGTGCTCTCCATGTCCAAAATGTGTGTAAGCCAGGTCCTTAGTCAACTTAGTTGCGCACATTTTTCCGTTAAGTTTTCTTTCATAAATCCCAAAGTTTGCGTGGAAAGTTGCTTACGCAGTTTTCCGACCCCGTTTTGTGCGTAAGCACGCTTGATAAATGAGGCCCCAGGTCCTTATCGTTAGGTCTGATAAGCTTTGGGGTTTATGGTCAGTTACAGGTGGGGTGTTTTCTTGGCTGTGTCTCAAGATTTTTTAAATCTAGAAGATGATTTTGAACAATACTTCTTTGAGGTTCCTATAAAAGCTTCTATGTGGACCTGGCTGAAGGAGCTGAAGGACGACATTATTTTACCTCCTCAGGTT